GTCTTCAAATATTTTAAGTTAATGAATGTCACACAGCTGTCCAGGCAGAGGTGGAAGTCGGAAGTCTAATCCAAAGTCTACAGGACTTAAACTTAGACATTTATGCTTTTTTTTTTTTTCATCCAACCAATATTTGAATAGCTTTTGAGATTATTCATGGGAGATAAGAATTAATACAATGGGATTTTATGTATATTGATATATCTTTTATTTTTTTGTATACATTTGCAGACTAGTTCTGGAGTGAAGAAGAGATTTGTGAACTATACCAAGTGTGTGTGCGTGTGTGTGTGTGTGTGTGTGTGTGTGTGTATATATATATATATATATATATATATATATATATATATATTTAGCTCAAGGATTGCACCAGGCCCCACTTCCTTGCCACTAGTTTTGGAACTTTACTCTTGTAAATAACATCCTTCCTGTTTATATAAATTTTGGATTGTCTGTCTTTGGCTTTGACCTAGTATGTCCTTGAGACTCTGCTTCCCATATAGCTTCCTCTTCTGCAAGCATTGCAGCTACATTGAGGTATTCCTTTTATACTCAGTGTTTATATCTGGTGAATGATTTCTAATACTATAAGCAAAATAGAAGTAGTTTTATGTGTAAATATTCCTAATTATTTGATCAAGGTTTTGCTTAGTAGAATAGTTTCATACTCTCTTGAAGCATAGCACATCTTTTTTTCTCTCTCTCCAGATTCACCTATTTATTTGTTGTATATAAATGTTTTTTAGTTTTATTTTACATTTTTCAAAACTGTAAGAAAGAAAAAGTTACCTCAATTCAAGAATGACTTATTTATAAAAAATTAAACACACACACACATATACACACAAATAATGAAAATAATAAAAAATGAAATAATTCATTGTACAGGGAGGAAAAAAATGTTTACAACATGTTATTAAGTTTAAAAACAAGCTACAAACTTTAGACAGTAAAAAAATAAAAATAAAAAAACAAGCTACAAAATGATAAGGCAGCTATTTTGTGATCTGATATACAAAATGCACTTGCTGCAGAAAACTTGGATTACAAAAAATTTCTTCTTACTATAAAAACATAATTAACACAGATCCCTTCTAATTCTACCTCTTATGGATGACCTGTAAACTTTATAGTGTATATTCTTAATACTCTTTAATTCCTCATTGACTCTCTCCCTCTCCACCCCACAATCCAGCTCCCTGCCTCCTGCTGCCCAGGCCTTCACTGCATTATTGTCTGTGTATAGTGTATATTATTTGATTTTTCTTTGTCTTTCTGTGTATGTATTTGTGTGCATGTCTGTAAAAGTTACATCTCCACATAGATTCATCTAGCTAGATGGGTAAATGTCTTCTTAAAGCAAAAGATTGACAAACCTTACTTCATAAAACCTTTAAAATTTAGTAAAATACAAAATACTTTAAGAAAAGTTTTTAATGCAGTGACAATATGGAAAAAAATATTTGCAACACATCTATTATTCAGATGCAGGGAATAATTTAAGTTTTTGTATATTATTAATTAGTACCACCATCCCATTTATCACATCATATAAGTCAAGAACTTTAATGTAGCTTAAATACATTTTTTACCCTCACTTCTTATATCCAGCTGATCTTCCAGTATCTCCTAGTTTTATCTCTGGAATTTATCCATTTCCTCTATCAAATTCAAGCTCCCAACATAATTGTTTTATACTACAACTATAGCTATTTAACTGCTCTGCCTACTCTCATTCTTTCCCCATTCTAATTTATCTTTCATACTGCACAAAGTGATCTTTTTGAATACATACCTGATAATGTAAACAAAAATAAACATCACTGACTTTGGTGTGTTTGTGTGTGTGTGTGTGTGTGTGTGTGTGTGTGTATCAGAGACAGAAATATATAAAGTGATCATTTATTTCAGTTATCAGTCAAAAGAACCTGCCACTTGTCTACCATACACACTTCCTATTGCAGAGTTTTGATGCTTTTTATTTTCTGTTCCTGGAACACACTCTTTCAGTTACCTTTATATTTACCTACATATTCTTCAGAGAATTCTTTTTGGACCTCACCAAATCAAATTATGTCATTCACTGCTAGATACGACAAAATTCTCTGTCATAAGACTTATTACAATTTTACATTTATTGGAGTGACTATAGGCTCTTTGAGAGGAGGGTCCATTTTTGTTTATGCTTATAGTTGAATTGCTGGCATGTAATGTAGTGCTAGATACATTCTAGACACCTGTTTCGGTTGTCTTTGGCTGCTATAACAAAATACCATAGACTAGTTAGCTTAAACAGCAGGTATTTGGGTCTCCCAGTTTGGGAGACTATGGAGTCCCAGCTGCTGGCTCTTGTGAGGGCTCTTTTCCTGCCTTGCAGATGGCTGTCATCTTGCTGTGTCCTCTGGCAGAGAGGTTGTGAACTCTAGTGTCTTCCTCTTCTATAAAGAAACTAAGCCCATCATGAGTGCTCCACCTTCATGACCTCATCTAAACCTAATTACCTAATACCATCACATTGAATTTTGGCAGGGACACAAATATTGAGTCCATAACAACAACCCATACATATTTGTTGAATTAACACGTAAGAAATACAAGCAAAAGATGTACATAAGAAGTTTGCAAAATGAGAAAATACAAATGTCAGTAAATATTAAAAGACTTTCAAACTTGTGTGTTATCAGAAAATATGTCAAAACAAAGATAAAATGTTTCATGCCTATCATGTTGAGGGTATTTTAAAAGATGATTAATGTCAAGTGTTCGTTTTAAAACATGTCCATTAGCCGGCACCGGTTTGGCTCAGTGGATAGAGCGTCGGCTTGCGGACTGAAAGGTCCCGGGTTCGATTCCGGTCAAGGGCATGTACCTTGGTTTCGGGCACATCCCCAGAAGGGGGTGTGCAAGAGGCAACTGGTCGATGACTCTCTCTCATCGATGTTTCTAACTCTCTATCTCTCTCTCTTCCTCTCTGTGAAAAATCAATAAAATATATTTTAAAAAAAAAGAAAGAAAGAAATATTCCCTTTAAAAAAATAAAAAAATAAATAAAAAATAAAAAAAATAAAACATGTCCATTAGCTGGACGCTATCAAATAAAAGTATCATTCAGTCATACAATAGAATATTTTCAGCTGTTAGAAGGGAAACATTGTATTCCAGTGCATTTAAAATAATCTCATTAATTTTTGTTTTACAAAAAGAGCCTCAAAGTAACTATGCATATTTGTTTATATATACACACCTATAAATTCAGAGCAAAGGTACTGGAAAGATATTTGCCAGGCTATTAGTAGTGTTTTTCTCTGGGAAGAGATCATGATAGTAGAAGAAGAGGTTTAAGGAAGATCTTTCCTTTTTCTTTTTAAGTTTGTGGACTTTTTATGTAGTCAGTCGGAAAAAACACAAGTTGAGTTGTTTGAGGACATAGGGAAAAACTACCCATTCTTTACATATAGGAAAAGAACTCTGGGATGCCAAAAGAGCATGGTTTAACCTGGAACTACAAGCAGTTCCATATTGTTGGAATTAAAGTGTGATACAGGAAAGAAGAGGAATGAGGCTGAAAATAATATAAACTGGATTATGAGGGTCATGTGTGTTTCTCCTAATGATGGAACAACCATTCAAAAATGTTTTAGTTGGGAATTGACACTGGTTATCTTCTATAATAATAAAAGGGTAATATGCTAATTAGACCGGATATCTTCTGGACGTCATTCCAGATATCCTTTCTAACTAAGCTGGGGCCAGAGGGAAGCCAGCCTGGGTCCCAAGTGCCTGTGGGCGGCCCGGTGCCAACAGCCAGGGGAAGGAAGGCCTACTCTTGCACGAATTTTTGTGCATTGGGCCTCTAGTGTTACATAGATGATTCCAGGAGATGTGCAGTTAACACATTAAAGTGATTGAGAACCTTTGTATCTGGATCCCTTTGGCAGGTTTGATGAAGCCTGTGGATACTTTCTCAGGATTGTGTTTTGGGTGCATAAAATACAAACTACAGTGAAAACCAATAAAATTATATTGGATTTCATTTATCAAAGTATTAAAAACACTTGTGATATAGTTATATTTGTGCTTCTTTAGTAACATATTAAATAAAAAGGCCTAATGGTTGGTCTAATAAAAACTTTAATTTCAAAATAGTGGTGAGAATAGATAATATTTCAAAATATCTGTGTCAGTGAAATGGTCTTTTGAATTCTGTCCATGGACTCCAAGTTAAGAACTATTGCTTATGGCAAGAGACTGGGAGTATGGAGATCAGTTAGGAAACCAATTAGTATGGAGATAATAAAAAACCTTAGTGGAGACAGTTTGAAATGATCCTATGTAAGACTTTCTAATTATTATTAAAAATCAGCATTTTTGACCTGGGCCAGTGGCTCAGTTGGTTGAAGCATCAGACCATATACCAGAAGGGTGGCCAGTCAGTGATCAGGGCACATGCCTAGTTTGCAGGTTTACTCTCCGGTCTGGGTGCATATGGGAGGCAATCAATCAGTGTCTCTCCTTTTCTCTTTTCTTTCTTCTCTAAAACCAATAAAAATATCCTTGGGTAATGATTTTTTTTTAATCATCGTTTTTTATATTAATACAATGTATGTACATTATAGAAAAATTAGGAAATATTAAAAAAAGTAGATGCTTTACTGTAGTTTTTTAGAATTTAATACAGATCCTGATTTTGGCTTTTTGGTGTGTGAAGATATGTTATTGATTTTTAGAAACGATAGATAGATAGATAGATAGATAGATAGATAAACACCTTTCATTTTCCTCTAGCATGCCCCTTACCAGAGATTGAGCCTGCAATCCAGACATGTGCCCTGACCAGGACTCCAACCAGCAGCCTTTCTGTACACAGAGAACAGAGCCACACTGACTAGGGCCCTATTCTTGATTTTTATGGCTGCTCTTAAGTAGTTTTCTTCATTGTTATGCATTTAGTTTTATTTCAATATCATCATTGCTTAACCATCTTACCTTTGATTTTACAGGTTTTTGATTGGTCATGGAGCACACGTAGGAGCTGTCAACAGTGAAGGCGACACACCATTAGATATTGCTGAGGAGGAGGCAATGGAAGAGCTACTTCAAAATGAAGTTAATCGGCAAGGTAATGTAAAAGCAGTCTAAATGGAAAAAAAAATATTTATAACTTTTAGAAAGAGCATGATACTTTTTTAGTAAAATAATGGTTGGCATTGAAAGATAATTATAATTGGGGGGGAAGGGAAGGAGAGTCAGCTTACCTAACGTGCAGTATGATTCTATTTGAAAAATATATGTTTCTCAGCTCTGTATCTTAATATTTTTAAAGTTGAAAAAAGTACCATAAGTAGTGGAATCCGGCATAAAATTATATGCTATTAAGAGCTTTGGAAAGAAAACAGGCAAAAAGGGTAAGATGTGCATAGGATAAATATGACACATTATAAATTTAAATAAAGCAGTCAAGAAGTTCTCACTGATAAGATGATATTTAAACTAAAATCTAAATGAGGTGAGGACTGAATTGTGGGGAAAGAACATTCCAGACAGAGGGAACAACCAATGCAAAGATAGAAGGGTACCAGGTATATTCAGAGAAGCAGCAAGTAGACCCGTGTGACTGGAACTGGCAGAACAAGGAAGGTGCTGGAAGGAGATGAGGACACAGAAGTGAACCACATTACATAAGGCCTTTTGGGCCATTGGAAGAACTTTGGTTTTTAATCTGAGTGAGGTAGGGAGCCAAGGGTTTGAAGTAGAGAAATGACATGATATGACTTGCTTCAGGAAGGATCTCTGTGGCTGTTGTGTTGAGGAATAGATTGTAGATAGTATGAGCAAAAGTAAGAGAATGACAATGGCAGAAGTAGGGTGGTGGTAAATGAAGTGATGAGAAGAGGTTGAATTTTAGATATATTTTGAAGGTTTGGCCAAAAGGATTGATTGATTAAATGTAGAGCATATAAGAAAAAAAAAAAAAAGCAGGGGAGATTCTAAGATTTTTGGTTTGAGCAACTAGATGTTTCAATTTGAAAGGTGAATATTCTGGGAAAAGTAGATTTTGTAGGGAAAGTTCAGGGGTTCATTTTCAAGACATGCTGACTTTTTTTTTTTTACCTATTAGATATCCAAGTAGAGAGAGATACAGGCTAGAGATATAAATTTGGGAGGTATAGATGAGGGATGATTGCTTATGGGTAGAGTTTCTTTTAGAAGTGATGGCTGTTCTAAAACTGTAATTGTAGCACAATCTGCTGCAAATTTACTAAAAACCATTAAATTGTATACACTTCTGAGTATATACTCAGAGAATTAAAAGGAAAGTTTCAGAGATATTTGTACACGCATATTTATAATGCTATTCACAATAACCAAAATATTAAAGGTAAACCTAATGTCCATCAACAAATGAATGGATAAGTAAAATATGCTACATACATATAATAGGATACTATTCATTGTTAAGGAAATTCTGACATGCTACAGCATGGATGAACCTTACGGCATCATATTAAGTGAAATAAGCCACTCACTTACTGCATGATTTCACCCATGTGAGGTATACCACAAGTAGTCAAATTCATAGATAAAGTGGAATGATTACTTTCAGGAACTGGGAGGAGGTGGAAATGAGTACTTGTTTGATGAGTAAAGCATTTTTTAAAGAGATTTTTTTTTATTCCTTGGGATTAATGAAATGCATGATGACTACTCAGTTGTTTAAAAAGAAGTCTTAGGCACTAAAACTGAGAAAATATTTAAATGCCTAAATAGAATTGAGGAATTATAATAAGTGGTTGAAGATAATAGGAGAAACAGACACACACATTAGAAAAGTTGTCTTAAATTGAAGATTGAATAAATACACAGAAAAGCTTTTATGCTATAGGCAGGCATTTTGGGGTAATAGGATCTTTAAGATTTGAGGAACTGGAAGAATGCATATAACACATCACAGCTAAAAAGAAGGGTACCTTATCTTTCATCCAGCCCTAATGAGTGCCCAGATAGCTAACAATTTCCTGTAAAACTGGTTAAATAAATCTTTTTATAGTGTTTAATGTGGGGGTGGGGGGGTCAATGTCCCTCAGCCCAACCTGCACCCTATCCAATCTGGGACACCTTGAGGGATGTCCAACTGCCTGTTCAGGCCTAATCCCTCTCACAATCCTGGACTGCTGGCTCCTTACTGCTCGTCTGCCTGCCTGTCTGTCTGATTGCCCCTAATGGCTTCTGCCTGTCAATCTCATTGCCCCCTAACTATTCCCCAGCCAGCCTTATTGATGCCTAACTGCTCCCCTGCTGACCCACTTGCCCCTAACTGCCCTTCCTTGCTAGGCTGGTCACCCCTAACTGGCCTGCAGGCCTGGTCATCCCCAATTGCCCTCCCCTGCTGGCCTGGTTGTCCCTAACTGCCCTCCCCAGTTGGTCTGGTAGCCCCTAACTGCTCTCCCTTGCTGGCCTGGTCACCCCCAACTGCACTGCCTTGCAGGTCTGGCCCCTCTCAATTGCCCTCTCCTGCAGGCCTGATCACCCCCAATTGCCCTTCCTTACTGGCCTGATCACCCCCAACTGCCCTCCCCTGCCGGCTTGATTGCCCCCAACTGCCCTCATCTGCCAGTCAAGTCACCCCTAACTGTCCTCCCTGCAGTTAGGGAGGACATCACCCACACTGCCTTCCCCTGCCAGTAATCTTGTGTCCACATGGGGGTGGCCATCTTGTGTGTTGGAGTGATGGTCAATTTGCATATTAGCTCTTTATTCTATAGGACTAGAGGCCCAGTGTATGAATTCATGCACAGGTGGAGTTGGCCTGTCCAGCTCCAATGGGTGGATTGGGGCCAGGCCTGTCAGGAGAAGGAAATGGCAGGAGGTTGGGCAGCCAGCCCACTCCAATCTGGGCTTGATCAGAGCCAGGTCAGCTGGGGGGGGGCGGGGACGGACTGTGGGTAGTGAGCCAGCTGCCCCTGCCCCCAATAGGGGGCTGATAGAGGCCCAGCCACCTGGGGGAGGGGCCATGGGTAGTTGGGCAATCGGCTCTGCTTCTGATCAGAGTGGGAGGGGCTGATCAGGGGCAGAGCTGGCTGCAGGGAGAGGTCACAAGCAGTTGCTCAGCCAGCCCTGCCCCTGATTGGTGTGGTGGCGGCCCATCTGGGGTGGGACCAGTGGTGGGGGAGGGAATGTAGGAGGTTGGCTGGCCGCCCCGCCCCCTATTGGCGGGGGTGGGGGGGTCAGAGCTGTGGACAGGCTGTGGGTAGATCAGGGTGGTGGGGTCCCATTGGGAGTGGGGCCAGCCAGGGGAGAGGCTGGGGGCTGATTGGGGTGGGGTTGCCCCAGGGGAAAGGACCGCAGGGCAATTGGCCAGCCACCCTGACCTCAATTAGGGTGGGAGAGGCTAGTCAGGGGCAAGGCAGCTTGGGGGAGTGGCCCCAGGAGGTTGTCTAGCCGGCCCCGTCCCAGTCGGGTAGGTTTGCTGGCTCAGTGGGCGTCATTGTGACTGGTCATTCTGGTTGTTTCGGTGTTCTCTGACTTTAAATCATTTGCCTAGTCTTGAACTCTTTTCTGTTCACCATATTCAAATATCCTCTTGACTATTTGATATCTCGAATTAAATGTCTATTGGGACATCTCAAACTTTAAATTGTTCATATTAAAATCTTAGTTTTTCATATTGCTCAGGCTAAAAACCTTAGCTTCATCCTTGACTTCTCTTTTTCTCCTACATGGAAACTATCAGCAAATTCTATCTGTTATTGAAGAACCCAAAATCTAACCTCTTTACTAATTTCACTGCTAGCACCCTGGTTTTAGTAACTATCGATATAATCTTTTCTCTGGATATTTCAGTAGTCTTCTAATTAACACATCAGTTTCTGCTCTTAATAACTTTCTAGTTTAAGTGGTCCTCTTAAATTAAGTCATATTGTATCACCCTGCACATTGTAGATACCCTGATTTTTCTAATCAAAAGATCATTCTTAGTAAATTTCTGTCTTGAGCCTATTACTTCCCTCTGCTTGGAATGTTCTCCCATATAGTAGCAGAGCTGTCACTCACTTTTTTTTTCTTGCTCCAAATATCACCTTATCCAAGAGACTGTTCTTTACCATCTCATATGAGATAACACTTCTTTCTCATTACCCCCGTCCTTCTATTCTGCTTTACTTTTCTTCACAAATGTATTATCTTCTGCCACATAAGTTCATTTCTGTACCCATAAAAACTTGTAAAGTAGCTAACATATAGTAGACTCTCAGTACATATTGAATGGATAGATGGATGGATGGATGAAAAATCCCGAATAGGTAGTTGGGTACATACATATGATTTATAGGAGATATCTTAACTGAGGAGATGTATGTGTGTGTTGTGTGTGATTTTATATTCATTTATTTACTCTATTCATTTAGTAAACATTTACTTATTGATCCCTTTTACTTTGTGTGAAGTACTCATCTACCTCATCCAAACAGTGCGGATACAAGATTAAAAAAGCACTATCTTTACCTTTAATATTCTTCTCTAGTAAGATTGTTAATGCATTGTTAAGTAGCCTGCAGATGAAACAGTAAGTCCAGAAATCATTCATGAATTTCAGGATTATCTTTTCTATTTTACTTTTTTTCTCAGGTTACTGATCTCTTTGAAGGTAAAAACTAGAGTATCCTGTTTCTTTTGAGTATATTGAAAAAGGAAAGAGTGTTTGCTAACCAGATAATCTGTTTTAAGGTCTGGTCAATTTTAGATGAAGACAGCACCTCCAAGTTGAAGTGTTTAGTAAACATTTGTACCCAATAGGTTAGAGTTCAGAGAATTGGTTAAAGCAGTAGATAGGAATATGAGGCATAATTACATATGATAGATTTTTTTTTTTGAAAAAACATTTTTTTTTTAATCAAGAGATGATATACTTAGGTAAATATTCACATTTTAAAAACAAAAGGAATAATCAGAAAAGTTAAAAGGATAGCCAAAATAATATTATGGGACAGAGACTAATCAGCTGAGAAGGCTAATGAAATTTCCACAATATTCCCACATTTTTTTCATTTAACCAGTTTGTTATAAGCAGCCCATTTTAAAAAATATAATTTCACTTTTAATCTTTGTTTAAACTTAAAATGTTTTAGAAAATTTTATTTTACAACATAGAAAAACATTTTCTGTAAAGAATAATAAAAACAATTTTAATTTTATCAGGTGTTGATATAGAAGCAGCTCGAAAGGAAGAAGAACGGATAATGCTAAGAGATGCAAGACAATGGCTAAATAGTGGTCATATAAATGATGTCCGGCATGCAAAATCTGGAGGTACAGCACTTCATGTTGCAGCAGCTAAAGGCTATACAGAAGTTTTAAAGTAAGTATTATTTTTCACAGTTGTTTTCTTACTTTGAGTTGTTTTGTTTAATTTGGTGTTCCTTTTTTCAAGACACCCTGCAAACATTTCAACACAGCCTATAAAAGCTAGCATTCATTTACAGAAAAAAAACTACCTTGAATATTATTGCCATGTTTCTCAGTCTCAAGTTTTTATTATTTTACAGTTGTTTCCTTAGTTGCAATTTTCCAATAAGTAAATAAGTATCAGACAACCATTATCTGTTACCTTTTGGGGTTCCCAGAAACTTTGGTTTCTGAGACTAAGAACTATGTCATATGTTAACATATTTCTGTTTATATATTCTGAGAGCTTAATTCTCAAAATTCTAAGAGTTTAGTTTCCATTGAACATTTATTAACATTTAATTTATCTAGTTTCTTTTTACTATATGTATACTGGTCTCAAGTGCTATTAGCATAATATTAAATATCAAGCTGTAAGCAATTTAAGGATATATTTTGATCAATTTTTTTTGGTGCAAAGTTTTTTATATCACAAATTTTTGTGGGTTTATTTGTTTTTTACTTATGTAATACAAAGGTGTTGGCAACTATGTGAAAAAAATAATTTAGTGCATAGCATTTGTTACGTGTATGTGAAAGGAAATTAGACTGGCCCTAGAAAAATCTACTGTGTCCTTTATATTGTTTTTATTCCTATTGGGTTTCTAATGTCATGTTCTTATTCCCCCTCCTCAGTAAAAATAGTGAAGCAGTGTGTGTCAACTATTCCCAGATTGCCTCCTTTTTTCAGTCCCTACATTTTAATAATTTAAGCCTTCTCTTGGAGTAGTACAGTTAACTTCATATTACTTTCCTTGTCACCTGTCTGGCTCTCTCTAATCCAAAATTTTTCAAACTTTCAGACTCCATTAGCGGGTCATGAAATGAACTTAGTGAGTCGCCGTTAGGGTTTGTTGTTGTGTTGTTGTTGCTTTAAGAAAGAATTGGAAATATCAAAGGGTATTGCATATGGTAAAGGTAAATGTGACTTGTTAAAACTTTTTTCTGTAAACATATACTAATTATATATATCTTATATAATAAAGAGATCATATGCAAATTGACCATCACTCCAACACAAGATGGCCGCCCCACTTGGACACAATATGGCCACCACAAGATGGCCGGCAGGGGAGGGCAGTTGGGCGGGACCAGGCCTGCAGGGGAGAGCAGTTGGGGTGATCAGGCCTGCAGGGGAGGGCAGTTAGGGGTGATCAATTTGGCAGGGGAGGGTAGTTAGGGGTGACTAGGCCTGCAGGGGAGGGCATTTAGGAGGGACAAGGCCTGCAGGGAAGAGCCATTGGGGGCGACCAGGCCTGCAGGCAGGACAGTTTGGGGCAACCAGGCCAACAAGGGAGGGCAGTTAGGGGTGACCAGGCCAGCAGGGGAGGGCAGTTAGGGGCAATTGGACTAGGAGGGGAGCAATTAGGCATCAATCAGGCTGGCAGGGGAGTGGTTAGGGAGTGATCAGGCTGGCAGGCAGAAACAGTTAGGTGCCATCAGGAATTCAGGCAGGCGAGTGGTTGGAAGTCAGCAGTCCTGGATTGTGAGAGCAATGTCCTACTGTCCTTTTAGGTCCGATCTCGGATTGGACCTAAAAGGGCAGTTGAACATCCCTCGAGGTTTCCCAGATTAGAGAGGGTGCAGGCTGGGCTGAGGGATATATATATTAGATTACACTGTAAAACAGATTCTAACAGATTCTAGACTGTTTTCAAGTGGTCTTTATAATTAGGTTATCCAGGCTCTTAAAATCCTTCATTAAGATTCTCAGTAGAAATTAGAATATATGTTAAACTCCTGAACTAAGCAAATAAGACCATTTATTATCTGGCCACTGGCTCTTTTTTAAATTAAGCTACTATCATTGCTCTTTAGGCATACATTATTTCATCTAAGTACTTGAAATTCTATCATGATGTCCTAATATCCTACTCTTGTTGCTGTCTAAATAATCTTTATTCACCATTGCTTCAACTTAAAGGCACATTTCTTTGAATCTTTTAACTCAGTTCAAGCCTTTTAAGCCTATGAAAAATTAAAATTAAATGTTCAACCTCATTCATAATAACTGCAGATAAACTATAATGAATTATCCATTTATCTATCATATAACAAAAATCAAAATATTTGGCAGTTAAATGACAATTGATTGAGCAAATTCTGTTAAAGTAACAGTTATTCTTTAGCTTACCAGGTCTACCTCTGGGAATTTTTTTTTTTTAACAGTTATTCTCACTCACATAGGAAGTAAGGTATGTGGGAACAGTGCTGTTTGTAATAGGGGTAGGAGAATGGTTGAATGAATATAATATATCCTTTCACTTGGATACTCTGTAGCAATTAAAACAGTACATATAGCCCTGGCCCTGTGGCTTGGTGCTTTAGAGCATCAGCCTGCACACTGGAGGATCACAAGTTTAATTCCAGTCAGGGGCAGGTACCTGCGTTGCCGGTTTGAACTCCACCCCTAGTTGGGGCTTATACATGAAGCAACTAATCAATATGTCTATCTCATATCCGTATTTCTCCCCCACCCTTTCCCCTCCCTTCTACTCTCTCTAAAAATCAATGTAAAAAATATCCTCACTCCTTAGGTGAAGATTAAAAAACAAAAAACACTACATATAAATATTGAAAGAGTGCTAGGGCATATTTTTAAATGTCAGAAACCAAGGAGAAAAGTGTGTATAATCTGTATTTACTTAACATCTTTTAGTTGTACTTAATATGCATAAAATTTCTCTAAGTATTCAATAAAAACATCTACACTAATAAAAGAGTAATATGCAAATTGACTGTACATTTGCGATGCCCAGAAGCCAGTCAGGAGTGGTTATGCAAATTAACTCAATAAATATGGCAGGTTAATTGGCAGGTGCCAAGGACCAGGTAGGGGCAGGATGCTTGTGTCATCACCTTGACGACAATACAGACATTGTGCATTGCCCCAGCTGCTCCGGGCTTCTGGGCAGTGTGGGAAGGCAGAAAGGGCTCTGGCTGGAGTGAAGGCAGTGACGGCAATCAGGGGAAAGAAGGCCAATTGTTGCACAAACCTTCGTGCATCAGGCCTCTAGTATAGTATGGTTATCTATAGGGAGGTGAAACTGGTTAAAGGTTAGCAGTAAGAGACTGACTTTGTTATATAGCCACTTATTCTTCTTCATTTTTGAAGCTTGTGAATATATTATTTATGAAAATACATAAATAAAAATACATGTGAAATAAAATATAGAGTATCTTTTTCAAATGTATTCTTTTTAAAAAAAAAATTTATCTTTATTGTTGAAAGAATTAAAGATGTCTCCTTTTTTCCCCCCTATTAATCCCTTCTAGCCCACACCTGTCCTCACCCCTTCCAGGCTTTCACCACACTATTGTCTGTATCCATGGATTATGTATATATGCATATAAGTTCTTCAGTTAATCTCTTCCCACCCACCCTGTCTTCCCTCTGAGGTTTGACAGTCTGTTTCATACTTCTATGTCTCTGATTCTGTTTTGTTCATCAGTAAATTTTGTTCTTTAGATTCCACATATGAGTGAGATCATGTGATACATGGCTTTCTCTGACTGGCTTATTCCTCCCACGTACCCTTTCCCCAAAAAACGCACACAATTCTTTCAGTTGATTTTGATGATTTTCAGTTATGTATTGTCATTGCATCCCCATTACAGAATCTATCTGTGGGGGTTGATTGTTGTTTTACTTACTAGATTTTTGTCCTTCATTAGAAGCTCTTTGAATGTAAGTACTGTCTTACATTTTTTAGTACCTTTTTGTGGCCTGGCATATACAGAGAACCATCTATTTGGGGGTGGAGAGGGGAGGAAATGTATTTACCTTCCTGACTCTTCTCTCCAAACAGGCTCCCAGGTACTTAAAATTTTATATTGTTTATAGGATATTTAATATCATTATAATTCATATTTTCTAATGGGAGATATATTTTATTTTCTTATATCCCAGTATTATTTTTGTCTCAAATAAATTTCCTGATAATTCATGTATTAATGGACATATTTTTATTTAAACCTCTGGATATATATGTGTTAGCCTGTTTTTGGTGGCTCATAAAGGTTGGTCTGCAGGTAGGTGACAAGCATGGTATGAGAATCATATGGGGACTTACTAAAAATATAGATTTACAGGAACTTACCCTAATATGCTGCTTAATCTAAGAGGTCTACAGTGGAGCTAGGGAATCTTTTTTGTTGTTTTTTAACAAACTCTTAAAGTGGTTCTGTTCTGGAGCCAGAATTGGACACCACTGCTTTAGATATTGTTAGGAAATAGGGAACTAGTACTTAAAACATAAATAAAGGAAGGGTTATGTATTAGCTATCACTACCACCTTCTGTAGGTAAAAAGAAGCCCTTCTCAAGTTCAACATCTTGGAAAGTAAGGTAAAGGTCACCAGATTTCATGAATTGTAAAGTATTTAGTGTTTTGCCTGTGTGTGTGGAGCTGTGCTATGTGCAATTTATGGGCCCATTCTTTGCTCTCTGTGAGCTTAATTTCTAAGTAAAATAAAGGTTGATATTATTGTACAGTTAGAAGGGTATACTAACATAAGTTGTGTAACCCTTTGCATTGTATTAAAATGTATTCCTGTTTTCTAGCTTTGTTGATGATTGGATATCTGCTTTCTACTGCTGCAGAAAAGTAGACTGGGCCCTTGGAATATTTGTTTTGCTTTGTTTTGTTTGTTCCTAACAGTCATATTGTCATTTTCCTCTGAAAATTTTCCACGGTAGATCATAAAGATTTCTGAAAACTTTCACAAACTAATTCCTATACTGTAAGAAAACAAAAATACTATGAAGTAAGCTTGCTTGATCCAGGTATATTTTTTAGAATACATTTAGCCTAAGATGATTTTTCATATGGACACCTGAAGATTTCCCTGCAATGAATGATCTCACATTGAAAAATTATAGGCTTTCCTCTAAAAATTTTAATTACAGGTCATATTAACAAGAATTAATCAGTGTCACACCATAAGACTTATAATCACTAGGAATTAATTAAAGCTGAATGCATTATGGCAGTAACTCAAGATGCTCTTTGCCAGTGTTTTCTGAGAATTTCTTTTGCCCTGTTTCTTTAATGTAAGGGAGGGTTGAACTATGAAAAGAGAAGTATATTGCAAATTTTGTTAACTCGCATGGTATAAAGCTATTGGTTACATTTGTTCATTTCTAGATTTTAATGATTATCTAACTTACTATAATTTCTTTAGACTTTTAATACAGGCAGGCTATGATGTTAATATTAAAGATTTTGATGGCTGGACACCTCTCCATGCTGCAGCTCACTGGGGTAAAGAAGAAGCATGTCGAATATTAGTGGACAATCTGTGTGATATGGAGATGGTCAACAAAGTGGTAGGCCTTTTTACTGTATATTAAACATTTTAACTTTTAGTCTTAGAATATTATAAGAATATTATTAATTAAATCTTTTTCAACTACTTATGATGTGGTTTTGGCCTTATTCTGCAAAGAAAGAATTATTACTCTTTCCGTAATCATATTATCATACATATAGCATAGGTTTGGGTACTTCAGTTGAAATTATATTTTTTAGAATTCATAACTTTAGAACATTTTGCATCTCTATATGTTTTCTTCCGTCATTATATTTATGGATTGGAACACATGCAGAAGTCAGTTTCTAATTTTTTGGTCCTGATAGTCTTATTAGCTTTTTTATAGAAGCTTTTTAACTGACATGGATAGTAGGTGTTAGAAAGTGGTAATTTTTGCCCATTCTGGAGAGGCCGTGGACTATGCCCCAGATAGAGTTGTCAGGGCTGACACCAGGCCGGGCCTTGAGATATGATCTCATGGCCCCTTCCCAGCATATAGACCTTCTTTCATAGAAAACTGTCAGCTCTCTGAGTAAAACAGGATGACCCTGTGAATAACATGGCCGTCAATGGCATGACCCTGACGTAGCTTGGGAAAATTGTTTTGTCTTGGGTTGCTCATTCTGCAAAAACAGGATGTGGATAATGGGCTTAAAAGGGGTCCTACACAAAGGGTTACTGCTGCTCTCTGGATTCCCTGCATTGAGAATGGCAGAACAGTTGCCCAGCTAGTCACTCACCTGGCTAGTTAATAAAGGCTCCCTAAATTTTAATTTGGTCTGGGCTCCAGTGGTCATTCACTCACCTTTGCTCCACAACATAGGATCTTATTAGTATATCAAAAAAGAATGGTAAAAACCATAAAGTTTTATGCCAAAAAAGATCATTGAAATGCAACATCTAGTCTCCTAGTTTTGCAAATGGGAAAAGTTTAGTGAGGTAAATTATTTACTTTAATATCACCCAATTAGATAGAGGGAGCAAATGTCACGAATATATTCAAGTTATCAGATTCCTTATTAGATTATATTTTTCTCCTCTGCTCCCTTTCAAGTGTCATCAGTAAGTTACCAGTGTCACCAATATTTTTACTAGTTCCCTCCCACTCCCTAGCAGTAGGTAATAAGAATCATTTACCAACAGTTGATTTGGTAGAGATCAAAACCTGTTTCTTTTAGTGAGCTTAATTATCCTTAACTTCCTTTGAATATCACTCATATATTGCATTTCATAGGCTAATTTAGTAATGTATACTAAATTACTTAGTCTAGGTTCCTAAAATGATCTCACCCTTCTTTGTCCAGATGGGTACATCTAATTCTATTGTGTTCATTAAATATGGGTGCTTGTACTGTTATTCTAGTAACTGCATGTTCTAACTGGGAATCTGCAAAGGAAAGACATATACATATCCAAGATTTTCCCACGAGTGTTTGTAGGTTGAGGTAGTAGTGCAGATTCATGTCCTGGTTGCTGACATAAAAAGATAAAAATGTTCGAAAATGATACATCTGTATAGGTTTGCCCTTATAAATAAGTGTCTTCAATCTAAATTTTTATCAAAACTGAGAAGTTGCTTTGTCTATTCTTAAAATAACTGTTTTCTGTTTTGTAATCAGCATTAGAAGATGAATACATGTTGATACTATTTAATTTTAAGTTAAAGGCCAGCTAATTTTAGCTTGACAATTCATATTCCTCTCCTGTGTAAAAATCCCCCTCAGCAGTTGGTATTTTTCTGGAGAAATTAGCAAATGAATATTTGTTAACTTCTGATCTCTGTTATGCATCCCAAATTGGGTCCCTAAAAGCCTCTTGTCCACTGACAAAGTGAGTGCTGCTGATACTGGTTTATTCAGTGATAATGGCCTCATTTAAGGACCAAAAGAGAAAAGCTTATTGCTTGAAATGGTTTTCCAAAAGGGTTATAACACTTTATTTAAAACATGTTGTTTTGCTCTAAAACATGCACATGATATAGTATGTATGAGAAAAAGTCATTTTATCTTGCATCTGTTCTATCGTTGTCTAATTCCTATGCCGTTTAATTTATAATTATGCTCTAGGAAAAATAACTACATGTAAAATAATTTTGGCCCTGGCCAGTGTGGCTTCAGTTAGTTGAAGCATCATCCTGTGCACTGAAGGGTGGCGAGTTGGATTCTGGTCAGGGCACATACCCAGGTTTCGGGTTTGCTCCATAATCAAGGCTTGTATAGGAGGCAACCCATCTATGTTTTTCTTTTACATCAGTGTTTCTCTCTCTCCCTCTCATTCCTCTCTCCCTCAAATAATTTAAATAATCATTTTGCTTTACCTTGTTTCTATATTACTATGCTAGCAGTTCCTTGGGTCACCTTTTTTAATGTATTAAAATGTATGTTTTAATACCTTATCTCCTCATTTTATCACTTTAGTAGATCTTTATCTGATCTTAAGAGAATTGTGCTCATAATTCCTTAGAATTTTTTAGTTTTCAGCAGATTTAAGATAATGCTAGCCTTTTAACAATTATATGAAGTTGTTATCCGAGTTTTGCAAATTCAGGACGAACATAATCAGAGAAATGGAATAATTTTCATAATGCCCTAATAATTGTTTCCTTTTAGTCTGCTAAGTTTTTCTGCAACTTTTCTTAGTTTTTAAGTTCTCATGTTTTATGAGATACCGACTCATAAGTTGTAAAAATATGATTTTTAAATTTTTATTCAAATATTTTTCTCTTAAAATATTAAGATTTAATAGGAAGGGGCTGCATAATATACATAAGATTTTGAAGGCTTTTGTGGCATAAATATAACCAAATACAAGCTTTTTATTTATTTACAATTTTGCCTATGTGACTTAGGCTGTCTCTCTTCTCATTTTAAAATAACATCTCATACTTCATATTCAATCAAAACAAATTAGTCTTAATTGTATATGCCTGCCTATATGAATTTATCTTGTCATCTGATAGTTACTTGTAGATCGAATTTTTTTACTAATTTTTTTAAATGATATTTTAAAATGTACAGGTACTTTCAGAGAGTTTAGATAAATACTTTAATAGAAAACATAATTTGGGGAGATATATAATATGGAAAATGTAGAGAAAGATTTAAAAGTTTTTCTATGTGAAAATGGGGGAAATGTGCTCAAATTATATTTACAAATTTAGTCTTGTTTCTTTAATTTATTTGCAAATTCTAAACACATTTGCTGTCATTTTAACTTACTATAAGTTCTGATACAGATTTTAAATAGAAAAGTTTTTATTTTGCTTCATTAACTAATTAAAAGAATTATTTTACTAGAGTGTACCCAAATATTAACTATGGTACCTTTATAATTGGAATTTTCTCTGAATGTGGTATTACAATCATTAGTAGACAACTGTTTAGCTTAATAGCTTTCATTATAAAGATTTAGATGAATAACAAAACTGCTGCTGTCATTAATGGACACAAGGATTGTTTTTCCTGATTCTATCTGAGCTTATTCTTATTTTCTGAAAAGATAATATAGCAGTGGAGACAGATTCTGTTCCCACTTTCTCTTCATTAACTGCATGACTTTGGACAAATACCATAACCTCAGAGCCTGAGTTTCCTCATTTGTATAATGGGAATCATAATAATGCTTGTCCTGACTACTTCACTGTTGTAAAGAAAGATCATACCTGCAAAGGCAATTCAGTTAGAGTCAGTGAGGAAGGAAGAATAAAGAGACTGTACAGTTAAACAGTGGCTCTAGTAATTTACAGATGTAGTGAACTAATTTGTTTAAGCATTGTGCCCTCCTCAATAGTTTCCTGGTTGCTTTGAGTGACTGCTTATATGCCCTACTTTTTAGTACCCTATTAATGAAGCATTGTAGCCTTATAGTAGTTACAGTTAGTTAGGCTTCAAAACTGTTTTAGTTATTGTTTAAAGATAATGGTTAAGTTATTGAGTTAAGTTAATGGGTATGCTCTTTAAAATTAGAAACTTCTCAGTGTTTATGGCCTACATTTTACTCTAGTTTTTATTCTCTATCAGCTGCTGTTTGTGAAGTAGACTCGATTATTAAGGGAGAAAGTAAAAAGAAAGGTTAGTAAGGTGATCCTGTTTCTTATTCTTATAAAAGAAAATTCCTTGGTTCTAAAATAACCGCATTGTGCTTAATTACTGCTGAAATTTTATTATAATTTTTAAAAGTGCAGTATTTCTTTATGAGAAAGGTTGATAAATGCTTAAAATAATACTTAAAAAGAAACCAGTGAGATATTTCCACATAATAACTTATATTTCATAAATAAGTTATAAATAATGAACCGTTTGGCATGTTGCAAACTTTGCTTAGCAAATACAGCATATGTCATATTATAGATCTAATCATACAGAAAGAGTATGGTATAGCAAAATGAGGATTAACATGTATGGCTAATCTAAAAGTCACTTTGTAATTTTGAGCCAGTTGTTTTGTCTCAAAGCCCTTTATTCTTTAGGAATTCAATTCTCAGCATTTAATTCTCAAAGTTTCAGAAATGGGGGGAAAAGATTTTTTAAAGCTAAAACATTTGAATGAGGTGGGAAAGTCCTTCCTACTGGGAAGACTTCCTAATAAGAAAAGACAGATATAAAAGTGTTCTTCAATCTTATAAATTTTAAATGTCATACATTCCCCTATTGTGATTAAGAAGCATTTTATGCATTTTTTAAGATATATGTTCTAACCATATCTTTTATAAACAGACAATGGAAAAACTAGCTCAAATATTGAGTAGCTTATATTTCATTTCATAGTGTTGGGAAATGTAATTCCTGTCTAAATAGATGTCAACACCCTGCTTCTATTATAGAATTGAGGATTGTAATTTTGTTTCCTTTAAATGGAAGAATTTATGTCATTATCATCTATCCGTCTTGCTTTGGTATGGCTGAGGACACCTGTTTAAAAGAAATTTAAGTTTCCTTTCAGAGTGGTTTCTACTTGAAAAAAGTTAAATGTTTTCTAAGAAAGAATCATGCACTGGCTAACGTATAGGGAAGAATAAATTATAAATAATGAACCTTTTGACATGTTGGAAACTTGTACCATAAGGTTATTATAAGGACTAATGAAGGAAGCAGGAAAAATCCTGTATTTGGTTAGCCTGCAAGGGAGGGCAGTTGAAAGGGACCAGGTTTGCAAGGGAGGGCAGTTAGGGGTGACCAGGCCGGCAGAGGAAGGAAGTTGGGGGCAAACAGGCTGGCAGGGGAGCAGTTAGACATCAATCAGGCTGGCATGGGAGTGGTTAGGGGGTGATCAGTTTGGAAGGCACAAGTGGTTAGGGGCAATCAGGAAGGCAGGCAGGCGAGCAGTTGGGAGCTAGCAATCCTGGATTGTGAGAGGAATGTCCGACTGCCTGTTTAGACCTGATCTCGGTTTAACATCCCTCGAGGTGTCCCAGATTGGAAAGGGTGCAGGCTGGGCTGAGGGACACCCCCCCCCATCCTGTGCTTGAATTTTGTGCACCAGGCCTCTAGTACTAAAAATAACAACCATTGAATTGTATACTTCAAATGGGTGATTTATATGGTATGTGAATATATAAAGTTGTTATAAAAAAAGTAAGGAAAGTTGCATCATCTACTTTCACCTGGATTTCTCATACATCTCCTTTGAGTTATGTATACTATGTTTTATAATTACCATAAAGTAGTTATCTAAAGTTTTTCTGTATAATCATACAGAATCACCAAATGCATTTTATAATTTATTGACTTTATGCCATTACCTCCCTCCCCCCTTGTTTCCAACCTAGGGCCAGACAGCCTTTGATGTAGCAGATGAAGACATTTTAGGGTATTTGGAAGAATTGCAAAAGAAACAAAATCTGGTATGTTTGATGACTATCTAAAAATTGTCTACATTTGTGACTTTCCTTAATTGCTTTGAATCTCAGATAGATTAAAAAAAATCATTGTGATATTTTATGCTTTCTGGTCTGGCCATCAAATTAAAATGGCAGTGAAAGAAGACAAAGTAGTGTTGTGTTTGCCTATGTTGCTTAGTCCTATATTTCTAAATTCCCCTTCACAAAATGAATCCTTCTCTAATGTATTTGTCCTAAATAATAACATGTTCTAATTTAATTAGAAAGTAGAGGCTATAAAATCTCAGATTTCTCAAATAGCAGGCCCTGGATAAGCAAGGGGTGATATTACTAGAAAACAGATTTTTATGTAAAATATTATCAGACATCCTATGTGGTGATTGGGCCCTGACTTTTTAGTGAAACAAAGTTGAGAGGGTTCTAAGAGAATCCAAATTCATGGAGTTTTTCAATTATCTTGTCTTTTGTATTCTTTACCTAAGCCCTTTTAAGGTACAACTTAAATATTTTATTTGTCTTATTTTGGTTGTCTTTAGTGTTTGGAAAACTATCTTGTTATTTTAAATTTTGTATGTTACTAATTAATATTATTTTAATAGTATTCTTATTTTCCTTTGCATAACTTTCATAAAGCTCCATAGTGAAAAACGAGAGAAGAAATCTCCACTAATTGAATCAACAGCTAATATGGACAATAATCAATCACAGAAGACCTTTAAAAAGTAAGTAAAATATTAAATGTAGGTTTTGTTATTGCTATGAATGAGTTGGCATGCTGGCCACTGGCATGATTGTTAAATTTTGTAGGTCTGGGGAAAAATTAAGTATTTTGACCTTCTGTGCTTATAATTATTTGAAAGCTATTTTCCTTTCACAGCAAAGAGACATTGATTATTGAGCCAGAGAAAAATGCATCCCGTATTGAATCTCTGGAACAAGAAAAGGTTGATGATGAAGAAGAAGGAAAGAAAGATGAATCTAGCTGCTCTAGTGAAGAAGATGAGGAAGATGATTCAGAATCAGAAGCTGAAACAGGTAAAATTTGAAAGATAAAAGGATTTTCAAGGATTTTTTAGTCAAGTATTAAGTAAATTGAGATCAAGTGTAAGTAATTTTGAAACTTTTCAGACTTATTTGCTACTTGTTTGGATACTTATCAAGCCAGTAAATTACTTTTCAGGGAGTATAGTTGTGATCTTTCTTTTTTTTTCTCCTAATTACCTGGAGGCTCCTGTCTCCTGTCCATCTCTGTCTCTTTCTTACCTTTTTAGGTTTGACAGTAAATAGACAGATTCTAACTCTCCCTTAGGATGTTGTAGATAAGGTCTAATGGACTTACAGTAATTCAACAATGGTACTATTATTTTCTGAGGCTCTAAAGTCCAGAAGCAGGTCCCAGCAGCATCCCAAATATTACCCAAGATATAGTAAAATTTTAGAAAGTTGAAGATGAATCAAGATTTCCTTACACTCCTACTTTCTTGTCGGAATGTAGGGAAATTTACTTTGAGAAATTTTAAAGATAGTAAAAGTATAATAAACATTCATATTTTAACTACTAAGACTTAATTAATTGTTGACATTTAGCTATATTTGCTTTAAATTTTTCTTTTAATAAAACATTATAATTGTCTTCTTTATATATCCTAGTTTACCGGTATATCCCTTTCCTTTCTTTCCTAAGGCAATTACTGTCATGACTTCTTTCTGTAATATTCTAGTCCATTTTTATACTCTTTCTTACATGTACATTCAAAAATAATACAAAAATAATTATAAGGTTGTTCTTTGTTTTTATTTTTACCCTATAGGAATTGTTATGCAACTTGCTTTGTTTTACTCAAAAGTTGTATTTTTTAGATTTGTTCATATCTGTATCTTTATCTACATAACTTACCCCCTTAGTTGCTATATAATATTCATTAAATACATCAATTTCCCATTTTTTTGTTGTCGCAAATAATGCTGCAGTAATCATTTGTGTAATTGCCTCTTTATGTATAAGTGCAAGAGATTCTCTAGTAGATATGCTTTGAAATTGAAATATTAGTCACATTTTCTTATTTTGTTAGTTTATTTTTAAAATAAATTTATTGGGGTGACATGGTTAATAGGGTTATATAGGTTTTAAGTGTACATTTCTATGATACAAGATCTATATATTGCATTTTGTGCACACCATCCAAGGTCAAATCATCTGTTGCCAGATATTAGTCATGTTTTTAATTTTCATAGATGCTACCAAATTGCTTTACCAATGCTGCCATACAATTTACATTATTTTCCTTTATATAGTTAAGGAAATTTTTTCTGTATTTTTTCTTTCACCCACATTTTTGTAGATTTTATCAAATTGCTTTTATTAATTAACATTTATTATCTTGTTCTATATCAGTTAATCACTCAAAACTTCTGAACATCATGAGATTCCATTTGACAATCTTGGAATTGTATAACCTAGTGTTTTAATATAACTTTCTCAGGGAGAAGAAAAAAAATTATATATATATATATATATACACACACACACACACACACACACACACACACACACACACACACCATTTCCAGTAAGATTTTTAGGCACTGAAAAATCTGTCATCATCAACACCAGTTTGGTCATTGGTAAACACAAAATGAAACCCTAGAATTTCTTGTACTACCTATATCTCTTCTAGAAACAATAACAGTTTTGAATCACTTTATTTTTACTCAACAAAATATTTCATATAAGAAAATGGGCCCTAACCGGTTTGGCTCAGTGGATAGAGCGTTGGCCTTCGAACTGAAGGTCCTGGGTTCAGTTCTGATCAGGGGCATGTACCTTTGTTGTGGGCACATCCCCAGTAGGGGGGTGTGTAGGAGGCAGCTGATCGATGTTTCTCTCTCATCGATGTTTCTAACTCTCTATCCCTCTCCCATCCTCTCTGTAAAAAAATCAATAATATATTTTTTTTTTTAAAAGAAAATGAAAGACGCTAACGTTTAACACATGTTGAGGAACATGTTTACCATTAAAAATGATGTTGCTAAAACAGATACAGACTAGCTTTGTTGACAGGTGATTTTCTTTGAATCTCCTCTCCTTTTTTTTTTTTTCTTTAGAAAGATAAGTAAATTATTTTTCAGTAATACACAGAGTTCATATATATGTATGTATGTGTGTGTATACACACATATATATATACACACACATACACACACATTCTTATCATTTAGGGCTTAATTTTTTATTTTTTTATTTTTTTTTTTTTTTTGCTATCACATTGCTCGTTAGGTAAGTATAACTTTTGCCTTGGTGAGACAGTAATGTGGGTAAATTTGGAAGCTAAAGCAAACAGGTAGTCATTGAATATTATAATTTATTTCTATAACATGCTAATTAAAATGTTTCTAATTATAAAAGCAAATTATGAGAATCTGCATGCACAGTATTTAAGAACATGCATGTAATTGTAGGTGTGGTTGACTTATTTAATTAAAGATTTCTCTAAAATCCTGGATATAATACCTGCTTTATCTGGGTACTATAGAGCAGTCAATTGCTTTATGTGTTAGTTTTCATATAATGTGTAAAATTTTACATTATTGATTTAAATATGATCAATTTACATACCAACCTAATATCACTGCATTTAAATTTGTGCTATTTCTCATGTTCAAGATGAAACAATATCATTTAAATTTAAATTGTCCCAGATACTTTTGTAAGTACATAATGTTATTTTTTATATAGTTAATTTCCTTGTGCAACATGCCTATAATTAGGAATTAGATTATATGCACTTGTGAACCAAAAAAAGCCAGGACTAGCACCCAGATCTCCTAATTTGTCAAGTCTTTTACTACTCATGGTAGAATTTAAGAACTGAAAATTCAGGCATCTCAGATTTTTTGATACGGTACATATTTTTTTAAATCAGTCCTTTCTATATACTTCACTGTTCAATGGTAGACATTGAGGAGCTATTTAAAACAAACAAAAGAAAGATTTAGGTTGTCTTGCTACTGAATAGCTATTTTCCTGACCTCTTTTGGTTGAAATTTCCTTGTTTGTAAAATGAAAAGAATTTGACTTGATGATCTGAACAGTTCTTTAAACTCTACTATTCTATAAATATAAACTCTACTATTCTATTGATATAAATATAATTATCATCAAATTGTATTGTATCAATTCCTTGTTTGGGGCTTAAGCATACCAATCACTCTCTGCTTAGTTTCTCACTGAGCTAAGTTTAAATGTTCCTCAGAAGCATTGTACTATGATAATTTTGTTCTTCCTGTTGCTAATAGTGAGTGGTGCCAGGAAAATTTGACTCTATCTCGAGGATTAATCCATGTAAATGCTGTGTGGCTCCTCTCTCTTTTAATATCAACAAGACTTTATCATACTTTTATTTGGCAAGCTTAAGAAAGCAACCATTTCCCTTAGAGCTACAGCTTGATTTGACAATTTCTAAACTGTTTCTTTTTTCTGCTTTTTGTATGGTTATGTTCTTGGGAAATTCTTTGATGTAAAATAACTATTTTGCTGAATTTTCTTTCACAAATTATGTATTAAACTAGTTTTTAAATTTGTATTTTTATAAATCTGAAGAAAATAGGAACTTAACCAAAAGTATAATTTCCTTTAAAATAATTTATAAATTTGAGATGTAGTGGAGGGAATGAGAAAAAGGAGTTATGTTTTTGCTTTTAGGTTTTTTTCCATTAGGACTTGGAAAATTTTCATTCTTCATTGAAATCAAATGGATAGAAATATTTCAGCAATATTAATAATGTTTACTTAAGCTAGATAGTAGACACCTGGAGTTTCATTATTCTTAAACCACAAGTGTTTACATACATGCATATACATTCTTTGATTTGTATATTTCACTGATAAGAAAATTTTTAAACCAAAAGCAAATAGGGAGAAAAGAAAAATCTGTTGAATTTTTTATCTTTTATTATTTATGTCTTCGACTAGACTGTAAACTCTGTGCAATTAAGATAGTTTGTCTTTTCATTGACTGATACATTCCCAGGACCTAGACAGTATTTGCAGTTTAGAGACCACAAATATTTGTTGAATTATTTGCTCCATTTAAATGGATTATTTTCTAGGAAGATGGGCTTATTAGATTATTTATGATTTGTATTTAACTGTGCTGATAAACTTAGCTTCTGTTGAAGGAAAAGAGGTATTAGATAACAATGAAAATAAATTTTACTGGACTGAGTCTAGCTGATTGAGTTTATTTGAAAACCTAAAGTTTAGTAGTTTTCAAATGTGACCATTTGGCCATATCCATGGGTATAATTTGAGATATGTTTTTCAACTTTATAACATCTTATGGATGTTTTTGTAGTTACAAATAGAAGTGAATGAATCATTGTAAATTCAGATTGTTGGTGGGAGGTCTATACCTGCCACAAAGTCTACTTGTAAAGTATAACATCATACAATAATGATCTAAGGAAGGGAATAAGGTAGTACAGATAGTCCTCAGGTTCCATCGGACTCAACATATGTCGTTTCATGGTTACATCATTATTTATTTATAATAAAAAAAAAGTTCCATCATTTCAACGTACATACATATGTGCTTTATAGTTTTTTGTCATTTATTTATCAAAGTAAAGGTCAGGAATTGTTATCTTTCTTTTAAATTTTTTTTACTGTTTCACTTCATTGCTGCTGTGTATGTGCTCCATGCGAGTGACGTAGTTATTTATGTAGGTGGGTTCTGATTTACAATGAAAATCGGATCTCTGACGTAACCCGAGGACCTACTGTATAATGAAAATGAGTATTTCATAAAGCTCTAAAGCACTATACCTTTTTCTCAAAGTCCTACCTCGTTTTGAAACCAGAGGAATAATTTAAAACTAGATAAAATGACCTTTGACCATTTGGAAAGTAACTTTTCTAGTCCATTTATAAATTAAAGTTAAAGATTTAAATTATATGTGACCATTTTGGTAAAAGCCAGCTTGATTTATATGTTCAAATACAATCTGGATTTTTTTCTATCATCAGATTAATTTTTCTAATATTTTCAAAAATCTTTCGCTAAGTGATTCATTACTAATTAGAAATTGTCTTGATACATTGTGAAAAGAGATTTTACCTGATTTTATGCCCATTTAACTATAGACTTTTTAGGGATGAAAAGGCATTTTTTTATGACATTGAAGCATACTTTTTGTCAGGAATCTAAGCTGATTATTGACAAAAACCACTTATAGATTTCTGGAATAAATACCAGCATTAGATATAAAAGTTTTTAAACATTAAAAAATTGCACAGCTCCTGTAATTTTTTTTTAGTTACATTGAACTTATTCATTCAAGTTTTAAATATTAATTTAAAAGATGTTTTAAATTTTCAGATGTTAAAAGTGCAAAAGTAAAATTCTATTTATGCTTTTTATTTTTTGAAGCTTTGTTATATTTTTTCATATTTTTTATTTACTTTAACATATATACCTAGACATTTCTAGAAACTCAGTTAAAAATTTACTTGTTAAAAGGGATAATAATAGTGGGACAAGACTTTGAATTAACAGAGCCATAAATAAAAATGGAATGTAAAATGTATTTTCCCAGCCATTAAAACCACGTTCCTATAGCATCTGGACTCTTAATGTTTTTCTTCTTTTTTTTTTATTGAAATAGATAAGACAAAACCCATGGCTTCTGTAACTAATGCCAATACTTCTAGTACACAAGTAGCTCCTGTAGCTGTTACAACACCTACTGTGCCATCTGGTCAGGCGACACCTACATCACCTATAAAAAAGGTAAGTCAAAGTTATGTTTGCTAAAAATGCATATCTTCTGTTTAAAAACCAATTAGGTTAATACATTAAGACGGTTCTAAATTTTTATAATTTCTTCCCAAAATATTTAAAGTTTGGAGTAAGAATATATTTTTCTTTCTTTAATTTGGCTAGATTTCCTCTGAATCATTATATTTTAATACATTTTGCAATTGATATTATAATTAATAGTTATCAGAAATAAATGGTGATAAGATTAAACTTTTCATGTGGAAATGAATCATGGTAGTTTTTATTTCAGTTGAAACTGAGAAACAGATTTTTTTTATCATTTATTTCTTTTTGGCAAAGGTGCATTTTTGTAGTTTTACATGAACATTAAATTAAGCACAAAAAGTACTACCACAAGTCACGAGAATACTAGAATCTAGATTTTCTAACTCAATACAAAGCACTAAGCATGCAAGTACGGCATACCAGAAAAAGCATGATCTTTGATGACAAATCAGAGATTAGCTCCTGACCCCACCTGTTTTAAGTTTATGCCTTGAGTGAGTTACTATCTCCCTTACCTGTCAAAAAAAAACAAAACTATAATTATGAAAGCATAATATGCTAATTAGACCGGACGTTTTTTCAGATGAAGCCAGGGCTGCAAGGGAAGTCAGGGTCCCAGGTGCCTGCTGGCGGGTGGTGGGAAAGAACCCCAATCACCAGAGGGAATCTGGTGCCAGCAGCCGGAGGTGGGGAGGTCTACTGGTGCATCGGGCCTCTATTGTATATATAAACAATAATTACAGTAAGTACGAAGTTAAGGTTGTAATCTTTGGTTGAGAGTCTGGCTAGTAACTAAAGCTCCCAAAATGTTAATCATTTCTTCCTCTTCTCCCTTATTCTGTTCTCCATTTGTTCTTTGTCCTTCTTGTTTTCTTTTCTCACCAAGCAGTGCCTTTTAACTAGTGTGTTATCTTTTTATTTATTTTTTTAATGATTTTGTATTGCTCTTTGATCTCCTTTTTTTTAAAAAAAAAAAAATGTATTTTATTGGTTTTTCTATAGAGAAGAAAGAAGGATAGAGAACTAGAAACGTCGATGAGAGACATCGACCAGCTGCCTCTTGCACACCCCCTACCAGGGATGTGCCCGCAACCAATGTACATGCCCTTGACCGGAATCAAACCCGGGACCTTTCAGTCCGCGGACCGATGCTCTATCCACTGAGCCAAACCGGTTTCTGCTAGTGTGTTATCTTTTTAAAGAGTTTACTTTCCTTCTACTTCAGAACCTGTACCTCTTTAAACCCAAATTTAAGATTGTTGTTGTCTTTACCTACTTATCTGTTTTCTTCTTTTCCACCAGCCCTTACTTATCTTTAAGGAGTATACTCATATACCTCTTTGTATATAAACACAAACACACACGCACACATGCGCAAACACACACATACCTTTTTTGTGGAACCATTTTAGAATTGGTTACAGTCAATATAACACTTGTCTGTAAATACTTGAGTATCTCATAGGCACAAAGTCATTATCTTTCACTCGCACACTAAAATTATCATACTTAGGAAATTTAACTTTGATATAATACTATTATCTACATTCACTAATGTGCAGACCATACTCACGATTTCCCCAGTTTCCCTCCTGGTTACAGTTATGTTTTCCTAACTTTTTGTTATTTTCAAATCAAGGATGCACTAAGGGATTGTAGCTGTCATTCTCTGCCTTTGGATTTTTTATTTTGTTGCTTGTCTGACATTATGTGGTTTTCATGGCTTTGAGGACTGATGTTAAAATCTCTATAGTGTTTCTATCATATTGTCAATCTTGCTAATCTTTGGACTTGGCACCAAGTGATCAAAATGTGAATCTTTTAAAATCATAAAGTAGAGAATTTTTTTTAATCCATACTGTTAGTAATAATTCTCTTCTACAACTTTCCCTAAGGAAATCAATAATGTGAATTGTTAGTGGTAGAAATGTATGTATTTCACTTGTACTATTTGAGTATCAGAAAACTATATAAATGAGTAGTTGTCTTAACCTTCTGCAGTCTAGAACTAAGAGTTTCTTGAATTCAGCTAGATCCCATGTTCATATGATTAAAATTATATATGCTTTCAAATGGAATTCTCCAGATGCTTCTGGAGAATTTGGTTTTCATGCCATATATAACTGGTGTCACCATAAGCTGCTTTTACTAAAGTTTTATTTAATTCTATAACCTCTACATACTTCTTCAATGAATACTAAACTTGAGCTCTTTTGATTTATTATTTGTTAGAATGTAGATTATCAAAAGTTCCCCAAAAGCTCCATCCCCTTGGAATAGTTGGCCATTAAATTGGCTGTCATTCTTTTGAGTACTTGGCTAAGCCATGTCTTTCTTACCAGAGTCAAATAATTACAATAGACTTCTTGTGATTAATTGTATTTTTCTCAAGCATAGTCCCAGATTTATGGCAATTTACTTCTTGTTTTACGCCACCTACCCTAATTAAAAACAAACAATAACTCTGTTAGATTAGTGATGTAATAATCTATTTGCTTATAAAATTCTTATTCAGAATTCTGATTTTGTAATTAAATTTATCTGATAAATATTTGCTTCTATACTTGATATTTAGAAATTCAAATTCTCAATTTTAAGCATCATAACCTAATTTAAAGATTCTATTATTTCAGTCTGTTTTTTAAGGTTTAATAGACAAATTTTATTCAAAGCAGTAAATTCATAGTGTACAAAAAATTTGAAGTGTTATTTTTTAATGGTTGGTGCAATCTTGTTATCATTAGTGTATGATTTTTAAAGCCTCTTATTATGTTCAGTACTACTCTATGTATTTCAACTTAGTATTATAGTTTTTCTTAAATTTCTTTCAACCTGAAGTTTGATACCACACCTTCATTTTGTATAGTCCTCAGTAAGATTATCTACAGAATTAGCAACCATTCAATGAACAAACCGTTGATTAAAATCATATTGATTTAAGACTCATTCAAGTAATATAAAGCCCCCAACTAAATGGTAAGATATATGAACTATAAGAAGTTGTGTTGTGTATTTTTTCTAAAGATAAATAGAAATTCAGGGATGATCAAGAATGGGAATTTAAAAGTCAGACTGAGCTAGAGAGTAACAAATTGAAGAGTAAGCTGAATGCAATTAATATTTAGCTTGAAGAAGTAGACAACACCCTCTATCCAACCACCAGGAGAAGAAACTTGGAAAGAGAACATGGGAGATCTGATAATAAACTCTTGCGGTACTTATGTTGCAGTGTTATGACAAGGAAACTTGATAATTACAAGAATGACAAAAAGATCAAAAGAGGGGACTGATCCGAAGAGTAGGAAAGTCAAAATAGTGTCCTATCATTAAAGTTAAAATAAGAGTTTAAGTGAATGGGTATAGGTATTTAGAGGAGTTCCTTTATATTTCAAATAAAATTGAAAGGTGCTTTTGAATATATACACCAGAACTTAAAAGCAAATTCATGTTGGGCAGAATGAAAGTATGTCCATCATTATAGTGCAACAAATACTTATTTCAGAATTTATAATACTGCTTCATTTTTTTTCAACTCTACGATAGTAATAATATTTCATTTGGTGGTTGTGAGAATTAAATGAGATAGTCCATGTGAAGCACTTAGCTTAGGGCCTGACACCAATAAACATTTGTTAAATATTTGTTTTTGTTACAACATTCAATAAATGTTATCTGCTATCTGACCATTTTATCATGGAGAAGTAACATTTGTTCCCAGTTTTGGGGAGGTTCAGGACAGGGATTGGTATCCAGGGTCTTTGAACCAAAGCTGGACCACACTACCTGCTTTTGTATAGCCTACAAGTAAGAACAGCTTCCACATTTTTTAAATGGTTGTGGGGGAAGAAATAAAAAGAAGAATATTTTGTGACATAAATTCCAATTTCAGTGTTTCTACATAACATTTTATTGGAACACAGCCACATTTTTCACTTAGGTATTTCCTTATGGCTGCTTTTGTGCTACAACAACATAGTTGAGTAGCTATAACTGTGGTCTCAAAGCCTAAAATTTACAATTTGGCCCTTTACAGAAAAGAGTTTGCCAACACCTATTTTAGAGGACTAAGACTTTAATCTCAGAAATCAATTACCAGTCACCTCAGTGCTTGCCATGTGGTGCCTGGGCCTTTTCAATCCATGGAGCCCCTAGTGTCTTACTAATTTATTTTTTCACTGTGTCACTTAGCGGAAAGAAATACTTATTTGTTTCATTTATTAAGTAGTTAAGTGCAAATAAGTTAATAATGACAGTTTGTACATTGTCCAACAGGTGTTACTGTGCTGCTTTCAAAACTTTAAACTACCCATAGTGCTCCTGTGGTTTTGTTCTGCCCCCTGGAATGCCTCAGTACACACTTTGGGGAATGTTGTGTATCATATGTCTGTTTTCATCCCTATTGATAGGAATTAACTACTGGAAGTATCAGAGGCATCTTATAACAGTTTTGTCTGGTGAAGTGGCCCTCTGACATCAAGGGTACTTCAGCAAGCTCTATTAAATTGCTAATTATAGCAAACTTTGGCAGTAAATATGAACGAAAGGATTTTTTTTTAATATCCATATCCTATGCTTGTAGCAACTATTTAGTTGCATATTCACCATCTGTATTTATTTCACTGTGATTGAATATTTAAATTCTGTAAGTGAAGTTGATGATGTGAACTAGTTAAAGATAACAGATATTTCATTTTTAGGGTTGTTGGAAGGAAAGCCCTGGAAATAAAATTAATACTTGAACCAAAAAAGTTTTTAGTTAAAATGTTTAATGTTTAGTGGAAAAACCAAAGAGTAAACATAGGTTATGATATTAAAATATTACTGAAAAAACTGTAACTAGAAGATGTCACTTATTGCTTTTTTATTGATTATGCTACATTTAAATTTTTAACCCAGATATATAAATTAATTTAAAAATTTTTGAAGTGCAATAGTTTGTTCATTTATATTCTATAATATTATCTACTCTATATGCCTTTGATTGTGTTAGAAGTTTGTTATATTCTTTACATTTTTTATGCGAAAGTGCAACTTGTTTTCAGTAACTTTTAAAGATTGGATTATTACCCAGTACCTGGGTTTTAATTTATTGTAAAATTATTTTCTAAAAGAAAAAAGTGTTGTTGCTTTTTTCATAACTTCCTTTTCTGTTTTCATACTTTCAATCTATCTCTTTACCTGTCTTATTTTAATTGGCTTTAGTATGAGTTCATTGCTCCTATCATGCCTGTGGTGGAATCAGTAGATCCTGCATCATGGAGGCAGGGCTTGCGCAAAACTGGCATTGTTCTTGTGCCCAGTAAGGGTGAAAAATCTATGGTGAGGCATTTCAATGTGCAAGGGTTTATGTTCAGTTACAACATAACAAGTTTAATATGAATATTGGTTCCAAAGATGCATGGTTTTAAGTCCTTATTGGTGTGCTCATTTCTTTTCTTTGTATTTGCAGCATAATTTTTCTGTGTGATATAAAGTGTGGAGTGTGTTTTCTAAATCTAACTTCTGGAAAAGTAGTTCATTCCTTTTCAGTTTTAGATCTTTACACTTTTGACTAAGACATTAACCTGCTTAGAAAAACGGGTTATTACTCTTGAAACTATTAACTAATTCTAAACTTTTTTTCCTGTAAACTTATTATTTCCAGGTTAAGGAATGATGTCTTGATAATTCTTTTTTGTTTCTTCTTAATAAAAACAGTTTCCAACCTCAGCTACAAAAATTTCTTCCAAAGAAGAAGAGAGAAAAGATGAGTCTCCTGCATCGTGGAGGTTAGGACTTAGAAAGACTGGTAGTTATGGTGCACTTGCAGAGATCACGGCATCTAAAGAGGCTCAGAAAGAAAAAGACACTGCAGGTGTTATGCGCTCAGCATCAAGCCCCAGGCTTTCCTCCTCTTTGGATAATAAAGAAAAGGTAATGTATTTCACAATCTGGTTTCTATGAAAACTCTTAATGATTTGTTTTCTAAGAATATCCGATCTCTTAGATTTTCTGCTATGTATCATTAGATCTATGTATCAACTTAATTCACCTGACTTAATGATTTTTTTTGGGGGGGGGGGGGGGGTTTACAGAGTAGAAGAGGGAGGGATAGAGAGTTAGAAACATCAGTGAGAGAGAAACATTGATCAGCTGCCTCCTGCACATCTCCCACTGAGGATGTGCCCACAACCAAGGTACATGCCCTTGACCGGAATCAAACCTGGGATCCTTCAGTCTGCAGGCCAGCACTCTGTCTGCTGAGCCAAACCAGTTAGGGCCTGACTTAATGATTTAATTTCAATACAAATGAACCTACCTTAAATATCTATATGGAATCATTACATATGATTAGATAACACTCAATAAAGGAACCCTTTATCTTATTTGAGAATTTACAAAAAAAGATATCAGTGAGTAAGTTTATTTTATTAGGTAAGTTTTCCAAAGTTTAGGAACACTTTTATTCTAGAATGTGATTATACTCCTAAGTTGCATTTATCTAGTATCTGCAATTTTTTTATTTGTTTTTCCATCTGATACATCACAGGCAATTTTGACTTTTTTTTTTTTTTCCTTTTCTTTTTTTAATATATTTTATTGATTTTTTACAGAGTGGAAGAGAGAAGGATAGAGAGTTAGAAACATCGTTGAGAGAGAAACATCAGTGAGAGAGAATCATCGATCAGCTGCCTCTTGCACACCCCCTACTGGGTATGTGCCCACAACCAAGGTACATACCCTTGACTGGAATCGAACCTGAGACCTTTCAGTCCGTAGGCCAACACTGTATCCACTGAGCCAAACCGGTTTCAGCCACAGGCAATTTTGTCTTAATGAGTACTTTTAACTATATTTTGAAAGGCAGTATTATATTGCATCACATGGAATGCACCACACTTCCTTCAGCATTACTTTATATAGTTAAATTATTTATTTTCTACTGCATTTTTAGTGCTTGGATTTTTTTCCATAGAGTTTTTTCTCTCTGTTTAGGAGTGTTTTATAGTATCAGAAATTCAGAAATGGGATTTCGCATCAAGTAATTTTAATATTTTTATTTTTTATGAATTTATTGCCCTATTGTTTCCAACATATATATGGGTATCATTGTTTAAATACTCTCAGCAAAAGTTGGATATATATAATTTAAATAATTATGTTTTGAATATTGTATTGTTACATTTTAAAGGGTAGAATATCAAGATAGTATCTTATCCTATCTGATGAAAGAGTATTATGCAAATTGACCATCACTTTAACACAAGATGGCTGCCCTCATGTGGTCAAAGATCCTGCCTTCATGTGGACACAAGATGGCCATCAGGGAAGGGCAGTTGGGAGGGACCAGGCCTGCAAGGGAGGTCAGTTTGGGGCAATCAAGCCTGAAGGGGGAGGGCAGTTAGGGGCGACCAGGCCAGCAGAGGAGGCAAGTAAAGGGTGACAGGCCTGCAGGGGAAGGAATTTAGGGGTGACCAGGCCTACAGGAGAGGGCAGTTAGGAGCAATCAGGCTGGCAGGGGAGCAGTTAGGCATCGATCAGGCTGGCAGGCAGAAGTGGTTAGGGTCAATCAGAAAGGCAGGCAGGCTAGTAGTTGGGAGCCCGCAGTCCTGAATTGTGAGAGGGATGTCCGACTGCCCAATAGGATCAGGCCTAAATGGGCAGTCGGACATCCCTTGAGGGGTTCCAGATTGAAGAGGGTGCAGACTGGGTTGAGGGACTCACTTTCCCACACACACACACACACACCCCCCCGCACGAATTTCATGCACCGGGCCTTTTGTATAATGTAAGTGTTAAGTCATTGGGACTTAATTAATGAACCATAAGGATAGTTTACCTTCTGATACATTAAGTAATCTGTTACAGTAGTTTTTAGAGTCATTAAAATGTGGAAGAATTTTTCTTATGTTAGAATGCTATCTAATTTTAGATCAAAGGAGAAAGAAAAGAAAATTAGTTTGAACAGGCTGTCCTTAAGTGCTTATAGTACTTGACTATTAATAGGTATCAATTTTAGATTTTAGCTGTGGAAATACTATTAAATAAACTGTGATGGCTGTTAAATAAATAAACACTCGTGGCAGCATCTATAATGATTACACATTTATTTTCACTCATGGCTTTTTTTTTCTGTTTTATAGGAAAAAGATAGTAAAGGAACTAGGCTTGCATATGTTGCACCTACAATACCAAGACGACTAGCCAGTACATCTGACATCGAAGAGAAAGAAAACAGGTAGATTCATTATGATTTACTTTGTCTTTCCTATAAAGTCTTTATTATCTAGCATGAGAGTTAAAGCATGAGCATTGTTGTAATAATGTGGAATATGGATTGTGGGAAGGGAGGGAGGGTATTCTTAATAAAATACCAAGGATTCTTGAGGAAGTTCTGGCTTGGTATGTTCATGAATAGTGAAAAAAGGTATGTGGTGGAGCACAGCGAGGGGACAATGGTGGCAAATGAGGTCCAAGGTAGTACATACTCTAAATATGTAGAACACTCAGAAAAGGAGAAAGAAAGGTGGGAAAATGCCCTATTTAATTTAGTTTATTTTTTCCTATTTTTCAGCACATAGAGTGTGAGCTTTTTAATATAGTTATAATCATGTTAAAACCTCCAATTTTGTATCTTGACTTTTTTATCTAACATCTCATATGCAATCTTATATGTTAGTATATACTTTCAATAAGCATTGTTTTTCATCAATACATAATATTCCATAGCATAGATCTGTTGAATTAAAACAACCACTTCCCCTCCTAAAACTATAGACATTTAAATTTCTAATATTTTGTGATCATAATTTAAACTTCTGTAAACATTTTTAATTTCCCCCTATATATAGCATTATACATTAGGGATAGAATTTTAAAACTGAAATTACTTCCACTTCTTGATAAATATTCCTAAGTATTTTCCCAAGGGATTTTTTTTTTAACTTTCTACTAATGTTAATTAATGTATAGCTTCTTAACCCTACTTATAAATTATCAGAATCTGAAGTATATTGTTTTCACAGAGACTCTTCAAGTTTGCGAACAAGTAGTTCCTATACAAGAAGAAAATGGGAAGATGATCTCAAAAGGAATAGCTCAATTAATGAAGGATCAACTTATCATAAAAGGTAGTAATATATTCTTAAGTAACTTTTATGTATTTTATAAAAATATGAGGCAATTGGTTTGGATTCCTCAATTTAATATATAAAAAATGCTTTTAAATATATATATCATTTGATGTTTAAGTAAAACATTTAAAAACACAGAATAGATATTTTTAAATGAGTGAAACTTTGCACCTACTAATGCCTTCCTATTATATTACATTTAGTCCTCACTTAAGGTCAGTAGATTCTGCTACTTTAAGCAAGATGTCATATGATGAAACCAGTTTTACTTTAGGCTGATTAATATAAATAAGAGTTAAGTTTCTATGGCTTCTCACCAACATTATAATGAAATGACATTGAGCAAAACAATATTATTTGAGGTCCTGCTGTGTGGGTGTGTGTGTATAATTAATTTGATATATTAATGAAGTATTTTTTGGATTGTAGCATATGAAAAAGGAGCTCCTTATATAAAAAGGAGCAGTTGAAATAGATCAATGTCTTAATTGACGTGGTCATTATTTGGTGACCTAGAAAATTTTCACTTGTCTTAGGACTCAGCTATGTCTTGAATCAGAATGTTGGTAATATTATATTTGTGGGGAGGGAGAATGGTAAATAATTATTTCATGGCTAAAAGCAACCAAAAAATACAGTAAAAGACAAATATAATAAGGCATGGATCACTCCTAAGGATGTGGCCCATTGCTAAAACAATTTTCTTTAAAATGTCAAAGTTTTAACTGTCCTTGAGTAAATTCAAACCATAGTGTTTTTTCTCAGACCCAACCAGACATGACCTTAAGGTCTGGAACAGTTCCAAATAATGTAAAATATCAAATCAGATCATCTTTGCATTTTGTTGAAAAATGTGGGAAGAAAATGATACACTACCAAATTAGTGAAAGCATCTAAACTCTAGCAAGTTGTAGGTGCAACTCTTGGTGCTGGAGCTGGTGGTGTATTTAGGAACACAGTTTTTTAGATCTCCCCTAGCCTTATCAATCTTTTAATGTATAGACATTAACTATAGAATACACATACAAACACATCCTATAGAGATATGACTCTTTCCTTTAGTTGCTCCTTTGGTAGAAGACAAGATGATTTGATTAGTTCTAGTGTTCCAAGCACCACATCAACACCAACAGTTACCTCTGCAGCTGGGCTTCAGAAAAGCCTGCTTTCCAGCACAAGCACTACTACAAAGATTACAACGGGTTCTTCCTCAGCAGGCACACAAAGCAGGTGAGTCACAGATACACTTTGTGTTCAGGCTTACTGTGTGCTTACGTATGTGCATGCGTTTTTGTTTAGAAGATTGTGGGGCTCTGGATTTTTTCATTTACCTTGTTAAAATCATTTACAAACAAAAATTGGTTCCAAAAAGTTGCTATGATGCATGTCTGGGGAAAAAAAGAAATAGATTCTTGAATTACAAACTTTTCTTGAATTAGGCTGCTTAAAATATAAATTTCTCTCTTTGACAGCTCTGGTTGAGCTTTTTGGTTCATAGTTTAAAAATGTCTTGCCTTGTATTTTAAAAAAATCCATCCCTGTAGTCATGTTTTTCAGCTGCTAGAAAGTGCTTTCATTGTTTAGCTGTTTTCCTTTTCTCTTTTTGTGTTGCTGCTTGTGATGCTATAGTACCTCAAATCGTTTGTGGGCTGAGGATAGTACTGAAAAAGAAAAGGACAGTGTTCCTACGGCAGTGACCATTCCTGTTGCTCCAACTGTTGTAAATGCTGCAGCCTCTACCACAACCCTGACTACAACTACTGCTGGCACTGTCTCCTCCACATCAGAGGTCAGGGAGAGACGCAGGTGTGTAAAGGTCCTAATAGAACTGCTGCTATATCTTGCCCAGTGATGAAAGTTGTTTGTTTTGTATTTGTAATCTTGTGAAGTTGACCACCATCTCTCCATTAAGATAATAAAGGAAGTAACCTATATCAGCTCAGAACTATGAAAATTGATATAATTAGCCATTAATTAACATTCAGGCTTGCTTACCCACCTAGAACAGAATTGGTGGTTTTGTTTAAAGGCTTTGAGCCAAACAGTTATCTTTTTACTTAGCCATCTTACTGTTTTTAATGGTTGGTTTCATTCAAAATATTTTTGTAATGAAAATCTAAACACACATAATCACACTCATGGAAAACCAGATGTGCCCTAACTGGTTTGGCTCGGAGGATAGAATGTTGGTCTGCAGACTAAAGGATCCCAGGTTCGATTTTAGTCAGGGGCACATACCCAGGTTGCGGGCTTGATCCCCTGTAGGGTTCATGCAAGAGGCAGCCAGTCAGTGATTCTCTCTCATCATTGATGTTTCTATCTCTTTCTCATCTCCTTTCCTCTTTGAAATCAATAAAAATATATTTTTTTTAAAAACACAGATGCAACATGACAAAAACAGATTTTTTTTTTTTAATCTTATTGTTTCCCCTCATTATTAAGAAATCTGATGGATGTTAAATGATTTTTGCTGTTTCCTTTGAGAATTTCACTTTAAGATTCTCTTGGTGAAAAATGGTTTCTTGTTCATATCTATAGGCCAAATACTTTTAACTATTTAATTCATTCACTTAGTTTTAATTCTGATATATAGAAGGCACTAGTTAATTAAATATTTTTAGAAGCTATGAATTTATTTTGTAGTCTGTTGTCAGTGGTATGGAATGATTTTTCCACTTTTATTTAATGTGAGAGCTAAATCTACACCCAAGATTACAGAAGAATCAGTACAGTCTTCTTTCTGCTATATCATTCATAGTCCCTAGCTTTGAATTTTATATATATAATCCTACATAATAAAAGAGTAATATGAAAATTAACCATCACTCTGCTACACCCATAAGCCACCCCCACAAAGCCATGCCCACCAGCCAATCAGGAACAAATATATAAATAAACTCAACCAAGATGGCTACAGCCACAGAGAGCAGGAAGGAGACTTGGGTTTCCCAGGCAATGGAAGAAGCCAAGCTTTCTACTTGCCCTTGACGGCCTAGGCCTCTACACAAGGCTACAAAGTTTCAATGATAGAAGGTAAACAAATCCACACAGAAATGTGGCAGCCACAGAGCTGGAAAGAGCAGGAGGTTAGGGTTGCCCCCAGCAATGGAGGAAGCCACGTTTTCTGCACCCTTGGCTGGCGTAGGCCTTCACTTAAGGCTACAAAAAAGATACATAAAACCAAACAGAAATGGCTGATGCCACAGAGCAAGCAGAAGGCATGGCTCCGCTACAGGCTACAAAGTTTCAATTGTAGAAGATAAACCCCAGATACCAGAGCCTCCGCTTGGATTGCCAGGAGGCATGGCCGGCCTGCAAACCACCACAGGCCCCTGGCTCAGGCTGCCCCACGCCCCAAGGAAACCCCCACCTTGATCTGGGACATTCTTCAGGGCAAACCAGCCAGCCCCCACTGTTGCACGAGGCCTTTATTCTATCTAATAAAAGAGTGATATGCAGATTGATCTTCACTCCAACACACAAGATGCTGCCCTCATGTGGTCAAAGATCCTGCCCCCATGTGGACACAAGATGGCCAGCAGGGGAGGGTAGTTGCGAGGGACTAGGCCAGCAGAGGGGGGAAGTTGAGGGTGACCGGGTATGCAAGAAAGGGCAGATGGGGGAAACCCAGGCCTGCAGTGGAGAGCAGTTGTGGGGGACCAGGCCTGCAGGGGAGGGAAGTTAGAAGTCACCACACCAGCAGAGGAGAGAAGTTGGAGGTGACCGGGCATTTGGGGTGGGGTGAGATCCAGGCCTGCACTGGAGAGCAGTTGGGGACAACCAGGTTGGCAGGGAAGGGCAATTAGGGGCGACCAGGCCTGCAAGGGACAGCAGTTAGGGGCAAACAGGCTGGCAGGGGAGTGGTTAGGGGGTGATCAGGCTGGCAGGCAGGCGAGCAGTTGGGAGCCAGCAGTCCTAGATTGTGTCCCAGATTAGAGAGTGTGCAGGCTGGCCTGAGGGACATAAACCCCCGTGCATGAATTTCGTATACCGGACCTCATGTGTGTGTGTGTGTGTGTGTGTGTGTGTGTGTGTGTGTGTGTGTGTGTGTGTGTATACACACACACACACTCAAAGCCTGGTGCATGAAAATTTATGCACTGGAGTGGGGATCCCTCAGTCTGGCCTGCCCCCTCTCACAGTCCGGCAGTCCAATAGCCCTCAGGGACAGGGACAGCCGCATTAGACCTCTGCTGTTAACACTGCCAGTAGCGCAAGCCTCAGCTGGCCCTGGTTACCTGAGTCTCGGGCAGCCCTGGGTAGCTGGGCAGCCACCATCCAATGCTAGCTTGCACCTTGGGCCAGCCCTGGGGGTCTGGGAGGCTGAGAGGACTGGGGGACTCAGAAGGCAGGCGGACGGAGCAGCTGGGCCCAGCTGCAGGCGGGCCCAGCCTTGCTGTGTGCCTGCCACCCTGCTGGGACTGAGGGGACTAGGCACCGCCATTTTGTGGCTATGGGTGCCGCCATCTTTGAGGGCATGGCAGTCAATTAGCATATATCTTCCTTATTGGCTGTTGGTGCTACCATCTTTGTAATTAGCCTATTCCCTCTTTATTAGATAGGAGATACATATATCAATGATGAGAGAATCATTGATTGGCTGCCTCCTGCATGCTTCCCACTGGGGATCCAGCCAACAACTCGGATTTAGATCCTCCTTATTCATAGATCCATGCTCAACCACTGCACTACACTAGACAGGTTCAGCTTTGAATTTTGTTTTTCCTCGGAGTAGAAAAGTGGGAAGCTAAGTGTAACCTTTTTTTATATTTCACTCTTGCAAAATTTAATTAGCTACATAACTGATATTTTCTTCTAAAATTTTCTTCTAAAATACCAACCAGGTTAACTTTGTTTTGTTTCTGACACATAGTGTTCATAAATGGACAGTTTTATACAGCCTTTGGTGTCTCAAAGTGCATCCTTACAGTAGGATTCTTTTTTTTTAAAATATATTTTATTGATTTATTACAGAGAGGAAGGGAGAGGGATAGAGAGCTAGAAACATTGATGAGAAAGAAACATCAACCAGCTGCCTCCTGCACACCCCCTACTGGTGATGTGCCCACAACCAGGGTACATGCCCTTGATCGGAATCGAACCTGGGATCTTTCAGTCTGCAGGCTGACGCTCTATCCACTGAGCCAAACTGGTTTGGCCTTACAGTAGGATTCTTACAGTAATATTTGTGATGAACATATAAAAAGTAACAAAATTATTTTTAATGTTTTCATATATTTTTGTGGTGAAATTTAATAATATTTCTATAATGCCATTACAAGTGGTTCAAACTTTGTGATTGGAGTACCTACTATATAGTCATATCGTATTTGAATTATTCCTTATTTTTCTATAAATTTAAGTCAGTTTGGATTATTTGAAGTGTTCTTAATAAGACTATCAGCCAACAGAAATTAGAGAGGCAGAAGCATCCATCATTCTCTTTTAGTAAAAATAAATTTGGTGTTTTGCTTTTATGGGGTGGGATCACCAAGGAGAGAAAGGGTCAGGAGTCTTTGGGGTTTTTTATTCCTTGCTCTGCCTTATTCCTAAATTTAGAATTTTCTATATATCAAAATTTCTTCTGTAAATTGAGATATTTTATTTACATATTTTTTAACTTCCAGAATCCTTTTTAACTCTAGAATTCCATGCTTTTAAAATTCTTCAGTGACAACATCTAATATATACCCAGAATCATATGTTGTTTCAGAACAAATTATAATTCTTAATCTCAGATTTTTTTATGTTGTTATATTATAGGAAGTTGAATTTCAACTTTTTAGAATTAATCCTAGAAAACATTAAAAATTGAGAATTAAATATTTGGAGATATAATAAGGACAGAGCAGATTCTAATAGCATTTAGAAATAAAATGTGTCTGTTGACATTTTTCCTGGTCTCTTACAAAAAATTTGTCTTACCTTGTTTCAATAATGTTTGCAGTAATATTGATGTTGCGTTTGTTTCATGTCAAGTATTTGTTTGCAATTCTGAATACATTGTGGGCCTCTTTTGTTCGTCTTTTAATTAAATTTCATTGATTTTTTTTTTTTTTTTGAAATGTAGATGGTTGAAAATTTGTCCCCAAAATGTACCTATGATTTAAGAATATATGGTGGCAGAAAAAATAAATCAATTTATTTATGCTACTTTGGGTATTATTACATATGTACTTTTGGATATTAAGGAAAGTTACTATTTACACTATTAAATTCCACCGCATTTTAGAATTCCCCCGTTTTTATTGATCTAACTGAGTGAGGAGTCTTGTTTTTATTAGTTAAGATTTCCAAAGGGTTAATTTTGGGAAGGTAGAGTAGAGAAGAGAAGCTAGCTTTAGATAGATGGAGCTTGATAGCAAATTCTTTTACTGTTTAAGTATTTCTAATTTTCTATAGTCTTTTCTAACTGTCAGATAGTACCTTACTGCCCTGACCAGTGTGGCTCAGTGGGTTGTTCTGTACAACAAACGGTTGCAAATTTGATTCCTAGTCAGGGCACTTGCCCAGTTTGCAGGCTCGATCCCCAGGGTGCATACAGGAGGCAACTGATGGTTCTCACACTCTGTGTTTCTCTTTCTGTCTCTCTCTCTCTCTGCCTCTCCTTTCTCTCTCTAAAAATCCATAGAAACACACTCAGGTGAGGATTTTAAAAATAAATAAATAAATAAAGCAGTATCTTACTAATAACTTTGTATTTGCAGCATGGATTCACATGGAACTTTTGCTTCAATATTACTACTCTCTTCCACCATTTTCCTTTTGCTCAGGCAGCTCACTTTTCACATTTAACTTTCCTCTGGAAGGAAAAAGGCTAAGTGTGAAGCAAGGGTTGGTATTCAGATTTTTAAAGATGTAATTTGTTTGACTAACCAAAATGTAAATATTATAAATATTTCAGCCAATAAATGCCAGTGTATTATATATATATATATATATTGGGGGGAAAGTCTTTCTTTAAAAATAACAACCTTTCCATTGCTCAGAAAATCGTAAGCAGTGTAAGAGTAATAAGCTTATATATCCCATGTTGTTATATAAAAGAGTCACTCTGCCGTGGCCAGGTGGTTGAGTTGATTGGAGCATTGTCCCATGAACCAAAAGGCTGTGGGTTCAGTTCCTGGTCAGGGTATTTACCTAGACTGCAAGTTCAATCTCCAGTTGGAGCTCGTAGTAGAGGCAACTAATTGATGTTTCTCTTGAACATCAATGTTTTTCTCTCTCTCCTTCCATTCCTCTCTCTCCAAAATCAATTTAAAAAAACACATCCTCTGTAGGATTAAAAAAAGAGAGAGATACAGTCTGACAGTATGGTATCACTAGAGGCCTGGTGCACAACATTAGTGCCTTGGGGGTCTGGGAGGTCCCTCATTCCTCATCCTGGCCTGCACCCTCTCATAGTCCAGGACCCCTTGAGGGATGTCTGACTGTCAAGATAGGCCTGCTCCCACCACCGCCCCTGTGCTCACCAGCCGTGAGCCCGAGCCCAGCTTCTGGCTGAGGGGGCTCCCCCTGTGGGAGCACACTGACCACCAGGGGGGACAGCTCCTGTGTTGAGAGCATCTCCCCCTGGTGTTCAGTGTGCATGATAGTGACCATTCATTCCACCATTCAGTCAATTTGCATATTAGCCTTTTATTATATAAGATAATAATTAAGGTGTCGATGGAGTTTGCTCTATTCTACTCTTTTTGATCATCAGCTCTTTGGAATAATATATATATTATTATTCTTATTCTTAGAGTAGAGGAACTCCAAGGATGGAGAAAGGAACTGAGTATCATATGGAGACTATCAAATACAGAAATTATATGTATTAGAAATTGATAGGCTAGATTTTTATGCTATTTTTGTGAAATGTTGTATGAGGAATTTAAATGAACAGATTTTACAAGTCTATTAACTTTCATCCCTCTAATCTGAATATAATTAACCAGATATGATAAATAGATTTATTAACTTTCATGGTCACTTGAAATTGTTTAAAAAGAATCTTGACTTCTTGGAAGAGAGTGTGATAGTTTGTTAATCATTTGCCATGGTTAAAGGGCAAAGTGGCAATACATATTACACTGTTCAAAATTAAATATGAAAACTTTGACCATGTAAATAGTAGTAGTTAGAATTCAGTGCTTTGTGTTCATGTTTACTTTTATAGGAGCTCATGAAATGCTAAAGTGGTATGCAGCCATATGGGTTGCTGTAAATTTTGCTTAACCAGATTTCCCATCACATTTATGTTTCACCACCTTTTGTGTTGTTTTTTTTTTTCTCCTCAATTGGTAGAAGTATAAAAAGCAATAAATTGCATCGGGTTAGTTGGTGCATAAAGAAGTGTTAAATAAATGAAGGAAGAGATAGTCATTGGACTGTATTTCCAAGCTGTTGTCTTATGGAGCACTTTTTCACATTCAATAGTTGTACCACCAAAAGGGGGAGGGGGGGGAGCAGAGTTAAACACAATTAAACCAGTTTCTTCTCTTAGTACTTCTAAGACCATTTAATATGGTGTGATCTTCCTGGAGACACATTGGAATGTATAGCATTTTCCAAATTAAAACACCAAGGTAAACAAACAACCTCCTCCTCATCTACATACATATTTTCCCGTATATAAGACGACCCCCTAATTTTACAGTTAAAACATAGGTTTAGGCCTATATTCGCTGTATAAGACTACCCTCCACTTCCGAGGCAACACCAGTTCTTTTTTTAATAGACCGCCTCTCTGACTTTAGCCAATCTGAGCAGGCATTTTACTAGAACACAATGTCGTCTTATACGCCGGAAAATACGGTATATAAAAGGCTAATATGCAAAGTGTCCCCTCAGGAGTTCGACCAGGAGTTCCATCGCTTGTTCTGATGCACACTGACCACCCAGGGGATGGTGCAGAACGAAGGAAGGCCCCAGCCAGCATTCGGAAAGCCCTGATCAGCCCTGATCGCCAGCCAGGCCTAGGGACCCTACCCATGCACTAATTTTGTGTATTGGGCCTCTAGCATTGTTATAAAAATAGAAAGCACCTTTTATATCTAAACACCTTTAAACTCTAGACCTGGCTTATGTGGCTAAGTTAGAGTGTTGTCCCATATACTGAAGGGTTGCAGGTTCAGTGTTCTACTCACATCAATGTTTCCCTCTCTTTCTTATCTCTGTCTCCCTCCCTCAATCTTCCTCCCTCTTCCTCTCATTCTCCACTTATTTCTCTTTCCCGTCCTCTCTCTCTAAGATCCATAAGAATATCCTTGGGTGAAGATTAATTAATTAATTTTTTAAAACTTAGAACTCTAGGGAGTTGATATATAAACAGAATGAAAATTATGAGACAGAGCCCTGCAATACAAAAAGAAAACTAAAGTAATACTAATCATTGGAGGGAAGTTTTTTTTTATTTTTGTTTAGCAGGGCTCTGTCTTATATTTGTTTGTTTAACTCTTTAATTATTTAACGACATAGATTGCATGCTTTTGAAATTATGCATGTCCTAAGACAGAAGGGAATATAGGCTTAGATTTATGAGGTTTAGTGAAAATAAATGCTAAGTTCTCTATATCAGAAAATCAATTACCCAAGACAAATGCTGATTTTAAAGCAGTTCATGTATAAAACTACTTGAATTTTTAGAGTACTTATATTGTGAACAAAAGAATGGGTCTGCCAAAAACATTATTAATAAATGTGCAAGGACATGAATACAGGGAGTGCTGCTTACTACTAGTCATCCTGTATCCTGAGTGTTGCATTCAGTCCTACCCATTGTACACAAAGACATAGACAGTCTAGAGATTAGCCAGATAACTTGAGATATGACCTTAAAAAGTGTTGTAGGGAATCAAAAAGGAGCTAAGGAGGAATTACATTAGATAGTTGTTTTTTAAAAATCTGAGGTTGGGAAAAATTTGAAAAATGTGATAGGTTAATATGATTAATTCTATGTAATCTAAAAGATTATCAGATTGCATTATTGAATTTCAGAGTGGATATAACCATTTTCTGAGGGCTAATTTTCTTAAAATCTATTAAAATGCTAAACTTGTATGTTTCACTCACATTCATATATAAAAGCATTCACAGTTATTGTATCTCCAACTAACGATTATTATATATTACTGTAGATCATACCTCACTCCTGTTAGAGATGAAGAATCTGAATCCCAAAGAAAAGCAAGATCTAGACAAGCAAGACAGTCTAGAAGATCAACACAGGTATATTTAATGTTTGTAATATATGAAACTTTAAAATAAATTACCTTTGCCTTTTTTACTGTGCTATAAATATATTGATGTCATTATATAATGTGAGTAAATCTTTAAAGATAAAAGTTGCTTTAGCCTTAGCGAGTGTGCCTGCTGTTGGGGCATCATCCCTCGCACCAAAAGGTCGCTGGTTTGTTCCCGGTCAGGGCACACGCTTAAGTCTTAGGCTCTGTCCCTAGAGGTGTGCAAGAGGCAGCCAGGTGATGGTTCCCTCTCACTCCGATGTTTCTATTTATATTCATAATGGTATTTTTGCCATCTCCTATGCTATTTTGTTAATTACTTGAATATAGAGGCAATTTCTTACACATATTTTTTACCTCCTTTTTTATGCTTGTTCCTGATGATTGCTCATAGAATGGATGTGAATTGCTAAGTAGAAATTGTGTTATTTTGCAAACCAATTTCAAACATGCATATTTGACTTTCAATACATTCACGTTTCCTTTACTTATAGTATGCCTTCAAACTGAGCTTTAATGCCTCATAATTTATCATTTTTATGTGCAGGGGGTGACATTGACTGATCTTCAGGAAGCTGAGAAAACGATAGGAAGAAGTCGTTCTATTCGAACCAGAGAACAAGAAAATGAAGAAAAAGAAAAAGAGGAAAAAGAAAAACAGGATAAAGAGAAGCAAGAAGAAAAAAAGGAGTCAGAAACCTCTCGAGAAGATGAATATAAGCAAAAGTCCAGAACATATGATGAGGTAAATAGTATACCAATGACACAGCTAGGTAAAATGGTAGGAAAACTTCCTGTGATTTTCAAAATCCAGGGAGACTTGTATACCAACAAACAATATACAAAATACTCAAAAGGGTTTTAATAGAAATCCGAATTATTTTGATATGAGTAGGACATTACTTTTTCATTGAAATAAACTTAAGTGTTCTATGTTTTTAAGTATGTTTAATATTTTAAATGGATTTTTACATCTAATATTTCACAGACTTATCAGCGTTACAGATCAGTATCAAGTTCAACCACTCCATCCTCTTCACTTTCTACCATGAGCAGTTCACTCTATGCTTCAAGTCAACTAAACAGGCCAAATAGCCTTGTAGGTATAACTTCTGCTTACTCACGAGGATTAACAAAAGAAAATGAAAGAGGTAAGAAGACCAAATTTTGAAAAAACTGTTTCTTTCAAATAATCATTTGAATTGGTTTTTCTAATTAATATTTCAACAGAAAAAAAACAATATTCTAAACTGGGAGTCATTCTACCTAAATGATAAGATGGTTGAGAGTGAGAAAAGTATAAAATCAAAAGGAAATTATGTGAACTGGCATTGATACACATCTTTATAACCTAAGATGCCACAAAAATCTTTGTCTACCAGTGTAGAAAAATCAGTATAGAAGAACTGGTGGAACAGCTTATTATGAATGCTTTTATTTACTTATTGCTTGTTATGTGTATCATATCTCTTACATGATTTTTTTTTAAATTGATTTAAACTAAAATCACTTAACTCATATAATGTCCTTGCTAGAACTAAATTGTTTTTATGCTTATTTCTCAAGAAATAGATTTTTTCATCTATATTGGCATCCTGATGCTCAATATTAACATTTCCTATTATTGTGTATAAACTTTCTATTTAAATTCTAATTAATCATATTTTAAATCAGAGATGGGTACTAAATAAAATTATTCCTAATTATAGGCATTTCATGTTTTAAAAGCAAAATGTCATAGTTTTAGTCATGAGATTATAGCAGTAATTATATTAGGTATAGACTTCAGAAAATGAAGTTTTTCCTAATTTCCAGCTGCTTTTCTTTTGTTGGTCATTGAGATATTTTAGTTTTTTGAACCACTAAGTTGAGAGGTGCACATAATGTTTATAAAAATTTTGAGCTAACATTTAAAATTACGTATATTTGCATAATAGTCCAGCTTTCCATTGTCTGTTGAATATTTGAAAGATTTGGTATCACTGAGTCTGAATTTTCACATGTCATCAACTGGCTAAAGCCAAATAATAGCAGCCCTCCATCCTCCTGGAAAAGTGCCCTTCTGGCCCCCTTTATACATTTTCATTTCCCAGATTGCTACTACAGGCATTGGAATTTAAGATCTTTGCTCTAAACTGATTCCAAAAATAATTTTTAAAACTCCTCTTAATACTATAATTTTGCTGTAACTCTTTGCTAATGATACAAGGAGCCTTTTAAAAATCATTTTCCCTTAATGCTTTGCATCTGTATACTGTAAATATAAATGACGCGATTTGTTTGAAATGTGTAACTTGGATATGCAAAAGATAATAACTCACAATGTTAATATTAAATATTCCTTCAAAATAAAAAAAAATTTTTTAAAAAATCATTTTCCCCCCATATATTCTTAAAGCATATACAAAGGCCCTTGTATTCTCTTCGTATGTATGTCTGAAGCCATTTTAGCTGTCCCAGGAAGGAAACAAATTTTAAGACTATTTTTTTCACATTGATTTTATTTTTAAAGAAAGATAAAGATTTTTTTCCAGAAAAATGGATTTCCTCTTAGATGCTAATAGAAATGAAATGAATTTATTCTGCTGAATGGGGACTGGGAATAGTAGAAGCAGAAACTGATAGTTTTATGATGTCTACTAACTAGCTATCCCATCATTAAGAACTGTTTGTTTGTTTTTTATTTTCTTGAAATAATAACTATTTTCCTAACAGAAGAGCCCCAATTGAATCTTCTTAGGATTTAATTATTTTTTGATCAGCAAATATTACTAAGTATATCTTTTGAGCAAAACTTGGGTAGGCACTAGGAAAATTAAGTAAGTAAAATTAGTTCTTGTCTTGATCTTGAAGAATGTATCTGATGAGAAATACAGGTATATGTTTAAACCAAGTTATAGGAAGGGGGAAATTTTTATAATGATTAGAGAATTTTAGTAGGCTTCACAAAGGAGGTTGACTTGGAATTGTTTTTACATTTGTCTTGCAAAATACTGTCAAGATACATTGCTACCATGTGGTGCATTATAATCCTTAACAGAGGGAGAAAAGAGAGAAGAGGAGAAAGAAGGAGAAGATAAATCACAGCCTAAATCAATCAGGGAGCGACGGCGACCAAGAGAGAAAAGAAGATCTACTGGAGTTTCATTTTGGACACAAGATGTGAGAACCTATTAAAATATAACTTCTTGATAATATGCTTCTATTATTCTTCGCCGCCCTCCTCCTCCTCCTCCTCCTCCTCCTCCTCCTCCTCCTCCTCCTCCTCAAGAAATCCTATTTAAATTATTTTAGAGAAGAGGAAGGGAGAGAGAGAAACTTTGATTTGTTGTTCCACTTATTTATGTATTCACTGGTTCATTCTTGTATGTGTCCTAATCAGAGATGAACCCACAACCTTGGCATATCAAGACAACACTCTAACCAATTGAGCTACCTGGCCAGGACTAGTATGCTTCTTTTCCAAAGTGCATACTAATAATATCTTAATGCCTCAGTTTATATACTCTTTATATCATCACTATGTGTTATTGAGCCAAGTTATGAAATAGGAAAAGTTAACTGTTCATAAAAGTTTGGCCATTCCACCAATCAAAGCGTAATATACTAATAATATGCTAAGGTCGCTCAACTGCTCACTATGATGTGCACTGACGGGGTGACGGGAGGGGAAGACAGTCGACCATTCTCTACACTCTTAAGATCATCACTGTGTATTGATAAGCCAAGTTATGAAATAGGAAAATTTATTTTATAAAGGATAGTTAATAACTAATAAGATTTTTTTGTGTTAAAAGCAGGAGCTCTTTTGGAATAAAAATAATAGCTGCAGCTCAGCATACATATGTTGATTATTGTATAATGAATAAACTGCTTTCATCTTAGAGGGTCTTGAAAGATGCTTTACATTTAATCCCATTTTCTTGAACATGATTATAATATATATACATAACTGTTATTTCTATCCAATGTTGCTAGATAGAAACAGTGCTTTTCTTATCAAATTATAACAATCCTATAGAATTTCATTTTTTTCCTGATTCCTAATTGTATGCCTGGCATTGCTGTTCATTTGTAGGAGAAAAAAGAACTATGGGTTAGCTCAGTTAATGAGAAATTTATACCATTTCAATACAATGTACAACCGTAGAACAAATATAATTTGTTTTGTCTTCTTTTTAGTTTGTTTGACCTTTTACCTTGATTTTTCCCTTTTTTTTCTTTCAATTTTTAAAAAATACATGTTTTTATTGATTTTAGAGAGAGTAGGGGAGAGTGAGAGAAAGGGATAAAAACATCAGTGATGAGAGAGAATCATTGATCAGCTGCCTCCTGCATGCCCCTTGCTGGGGATAGAGCCTGAAACCTGGCGATGTGCCCTGACAGGGAATCAAACCTGTGATCTCCTGATTCATGGTTCAATACTCACCACTGAGCCACACTGGCCGGACTCATTTAACTTTTAATATAGAAAACTTCAACCATACAACAGTAATGGAAAAGTATTTACTATAATGATCCCACCCCAACTATCCATTATTTAAACTAATTCCTCAACACTTCTCCAACTCCCATATAATTTTGAGAAAATCTTAGACATATCATTTTATCTGTAAAAATTATAGTATATTTTTTTTAAATATTTTATTGATTTTTGTACAGAGTGGAAGGGAGAGAGATAGTTTGAAACATCAATGAGAGAGAGTCATTGATCAGTTGCCTCTTGCACACCCCCTACTGGAGATATGCCCGCAACCAAGGTACATGCCCTTGGCCGGAATCGAACCCGGGGCCCTTCAGTCCCCAAGCCGACGCTCTATCCATTGAGCCAAACCGGTCCCGGCAAAATTATAGTATATTTTTAAGGGATAAAAATTATAAAAAAGATAGTAACCATGGCATTATTACATAATGAGCACAATACCAGATCAGACTTATTGTTAAATAAACACTAAATCCTTAATATTGAATGTTTAATCAGTTTTAATGTACATTTAATTCATATATGCCATAAATGGTTGGTTGTTATAGTTTTATATTTTGCTGGTTTGATTAGGACTCAAATAGTACCAAACATGATGATTAATTATCTCTCTAATGTTTTTTTTAATCAGTAAGTTTCTCCCTCCATCCCTTTTTTCCCACCTTACAATTGCTTTCTAATGAACTGGATTCTCATATTCTTGAAGTGTAGTTTTTCCTATTTCCCATCAACTGGTAGAGAATTGATCAGATTCTGATTCAATATTCCTTTGGCAAAGTTTTTTTGTTTGCTTGTTTATCCCCACCTGAGAATATTATTTTTTCATTGTTTTTTTTTTAGAGAGAGTAGAAGGGAGGGAGAGAAAAACATTGACATCCATTAGTTACCTTCTGCATGCACACCGATGGAGTATGGTGATCAAACCTGCAACCCAGGTACATGCCCTTGACCACAAATTGAACCTGAAACCCCTTTGGTGCACAGGCATTCAATGCTCTAAATATCTAGACACACCAGTCAGGGCTGGCAACCTATTTTTAGCCTCCATCAGGAAGTATATAATGTATGGTTGGTTTTAATTGACTGCCTGGTAACATTTTATTTTAAATATTTTATTAATTTTTTTTTACAGAGAGGAAAGGAGAGGGAGAGAGAGTTAGAAACATCATTGAGAGAGAAACATTGATCAGCTACCTCCTGCATACCCTGTACTGGGGATGTGCCCGCAACCAAAGTACATGACCTTGGCCAGAATCGAACCTGGGACCCTTGAGTCCACAGGCCGGTGCTCTATCCACTGAGACAAACTGGTAATATTTTAATAACAGTAAAATAAAACCCCACAGTCTTAACATCTTGACATAGTAACTTATTAAAATTCTTTTATCTTCTGAATAACTAATACATGTTAGTAATTTCATAGGCAAAACTGTATTTATTACATTATAGTATTTATTTCCCCACTGTTATTCAGACCAGCCCTTCCTTCAACTACAGTTCCTTGCATTATAAGGATCCTTCCTGAAATCCATATTGGCAACATTTGTCTTTTTAATTTGAGCCTGCATTGAATTGTGTTCTAATCAACCAGCAAAGCAGAGCCCTCCTTTCCCATTCATATCCACACCTCTATCATACAACATATAAAAAGAAAGGGTAGTGTGCACTTGGGCAGCTTTTTGCTCTATTGTATTAGAAGATTCCTTTTTTTTAGTTACTACTTTTCAGGACGTCTGAGCTTTTCCCCTTTTTAAATTTTCAGTTCCTATGTTTTCCCATGAAGCTACAATGTATAGAAACAATTAGTCCATGATATGGAATTAAGATATTTATATTAATAAGTAATAGTAGCAGCAACAGCATTGATTTCACCTGTTCCCAGCCTTGTGTTCACATATAATTTATTACTAGTTACCAAAATGATAGCTTGTACAGATTCTCACTATTCCTCAGAGCTGTTCTGTAAAGTTTTTATCTTTAGTTTTATGTGTAATGTAACTGTGGCTCAGGAAAATTTAAAATAAGTTTGCCCTAAGTCACATAGCTAAAAATAGCTATAACCAATGGGACTCTTGAGTGACCTAATTGTAAAGTCTGTGATGTTTTTATGGTGAGCCTAAGACAGATAGGTTTGAATGCAAATTTTCCTTTTCTTTCAACACTTTTAAGGTTTGTTGAGATGTTCATGACCTTCTAATAGGATATTCCCATAGTCTGGGATTTTTAATCTGCTGAAACTGATTTTCTGTTTGGTATATTATAAACTCCCAACGAATTTCCAAATAGATAAACAACCCAAACATAATAGGACTGCTAAATAAATCTTGCTAGGCTTATAGAACACAGCTTTTCTTGCTTAAGATCATGACTTTCCTAATTTTGTTGCCTCATTAAGGTTGAACTAGAGGCCGGGTACACAAAATTCGTGCAGGGGGGGAGGAGGGGTGGGGACATCCCTCAGCCCAGCCTGCACCCTCTCCAGTCTGGGACCCTCAGGGGAAATCTGACAGCTGGACATCCCTCTCACAATCCGGGACTGCTGGCTCCTAAATGCTCATCTGCCTGCCTGCCTGCCTGATTGCCTCTAATCGCTTCTGCCTGCCTGATCACCCCTAACTGCTCCCCTGCTGGCCTGGTTGATGCCTAACTGCTCCTCTGCTGGCTTGATCACCCCCAACTGCCCTTCCCTGCTAACCTGGATGCTCCCAACTGCCCTCCCCTACCAGCCCTTTTATCCCCAACTGCCCAGCCCTGCTGGTCTGATCTCTCCCCCAACTGCCATCTCCCCTTCCCGCGCCCCCCCCCCCCCCCCGGCCTGGTTACCCTTATCTGCCCTCCTCTGTTAGCCTGATCTCTCCCCCAACTGCTCTCCCCTGCCAGCCATCTTGTAGTGGCCATTTTGTTCAATGCGATGGCGGCCATTTGTGATGACATCGTGCATGAGAGCCACCTAGGCTTTTATTATATAGGATAGCTAAATAGTACTTATATTGATGATTAAAGTACATGAAGTACTATCCTATATAATAAAAAAGGAATATGCAAATTGACTTACAAAGGATAGCAGCACCTATAGCTACAAGATGGAGGCACCCAGTTCCCTCAACCCTGCCAGAGTCCCCTAGTCCTTTCAGTACAGCCTGGGGGGTGGCAGGCAAGCAGTACAGTCATACCCGCCCTCAGCCGCCCAGGGCTGGCCCTAGGCTCAGGCAAGCCTCATATGGCAGCTGCCCAACCACCCAGGGCTGACCGAGGCTCAGGTAACTAGGGATAGCCAAGGCTTGCACTGCTGGCAGTGGCAGCAGCAGAGATGTGATGGGGGCATTACCTTCCTCTGATTGCTGGGTCGCCTCACATCCCTGAGGGCTCCCAGACTTTGAGAGGGGATAGGCCAGGCTGAGGGACCTGCACTTTAGTGCATGAATTTTCATGCTGGGCCTCTAGTCCTATCTAATAAAGAGGGAATATGCTAATTGACCCTCACGCCATAATAAAGATGGTGGTTCCCACAGCCAATAAGGAGGAATATACTAATTGACTACCCCACCCTCAAAGATGGCAGTGCCAACAGCTAATAAAGATGAAATATGCTAATTGACTGCCCCACCCTCGAAGGTGGCAGCACCCACAGCCACAAGATGGCGGTGCTTAGTCCCCTCAGCTGTATACCTGCCTCCAGAGTCCGCTAATACCCTCAGCCCCCCAGCCGCCCAGGGCCAGCCCAAGGCATAGGCAAGCCTTGGATATTTGCTGTCCAGTCACCCAGAGCAGGCCCAAGGCGCAGGCAATCCTCAGGTGGCAGCTGCCCAGCCATCCAGAGCCGGCCCGAGGGTAACCAGAGATGGCTGAGACTTGCACTGCTGGCAGTGGCAGCAACAGAGGTGTGATGAGGCTTCACCTTCCCCTGATCGCTGGGTCGCCTTCTGCCTCTGAGGGCTCCCGGACTGTGAAAAGGAGTAGGCCAAGCTGAGGGACCCCCTTTCCCCCCGACTCCAGTACATGAATTTTCATGTACTGGGCCTCTATATATATATAAAAGCCTAAAGGACCATTACAACCTGTTGATGGCTTGACTGGTTGCTATGATGTGCACTGACCACCAGGAGGCAGATGCTCAACACAGGAACTACCCCCTGGTGGTCAGTGCACTCCCAACAGCGGGAGCGCCGCTTAGCCAGAAGCCAGGCTCACAGTTGACACACATAGCTGTGGCGTGATGCCAGGCCCCAGCTCGGGCTCCTCCCTGGCCGCCTGCTACTTGGGCATTGCTATATCTCTCGGGGGATGTCAGACTGCCAGATCAGGCCAAACCAGCAGTCTGACATCCCCCAAGGGGTCCTGGATTGCAAAAGGGTGCAGGCCAGGATGAGGAACCCCACCAGTGCACGAATCCATGTAACGGGCCTTTAGTTACAATATAAAATGGAATATCTTCTTTCTCATGCTAGGCTTCTGGCTTCCTCATCTCCAATATGAGGTTGTTAGGTAGATTGCTTTTCTTCACCATGTATGCTGAACTATTTGGATTGTGCCATGCAGACAAATAGGCCTGAAAAATAGGGTAGAAAAAATGTCCACTTAAAAATCTGTATTCTTTTTTATTTAATTCACTGTTCGGTTTTTCTCAAGGGCCATTTTATATCAGAAAAGCCCTAAAGAGCCGAAACCATTTTGGCTCAGTGGAGAGAGCGTCGGCCTGCAGACTAAAAGGTCCCGGGTTCGATTCCGGTCAAGGGCATGTACCTTAGTTGTGGGCACACCCCCCTATAGGGGGTGTGCAAGAGGCAGCTGGTCGATGATTCTCTCACATGGATGTTTCTAACTCTCTATCCCTCTCTCTTCCTCTCTTTAAAATATCAATAAAATATATATTAAAAAAAGAAAAAGAAAAGAAAAGCCCTAAAGTATGTAAATATCAACTGTTTTGAAATTGACTATCTATTCTAGAGCGATGAAAATGAACAAGAACAACAGTCAGATACAGAGGAGGGATCCAATAAGAAAGAAACTCAGGTAAAAAAACCTTTATTTTTTGTATTTTGAATTATGTATCATTTTCTAAGTATTACTTTTTTACTTGTGTTTATGTTTATCAATGAAAGACAGTTACAGCACACTGTATCTTCATGCTAGGGATAGACTTATCAGTGGTTTGCTGGTATCTGGGGTGGAAGGACTGAAAAGGTGCACAAAGAATATTTTAGAGGCAGTGAAAATGTTCTGAATCTTGATTGTAGTGGATTTATGGATATACACAACTGTCAAAACTCATTAAACTGTATACTCTAAAGTGGATGTAGTTTCTTGCATGTAAATGAGTCTTTAACGTTGAAAAGAAAATCAAAAATAAAATAGTAACCTTCGCAAAGTATCTAAAGAATATTCATAAATTACCAGACCCAGATTGTAGATTTTTAAAACGCAGTTTTGTTCTGGAAAAGGCCATAGGCCTTTTTAATTTTCTTCACAATTGTTTAGAAATTTAGTATCTCTAAAGGACTGATCTTTTCAACAATCTTGAAAATTTTGAACTGCATGTGAAGCTCAAGCTGTCTGCCTTCAGGATATATCTTTAAAGAAAATTAATAAATTTTATCAGAGAATTTGAGTTATTTTATCATAATACTATTATTGTTTAAAAAAATGGGGCTTTTGTCAAATGGGTTATTATGATTTTCTCTCATTGTGATGCTATATGGTAATACTTTTACCATATAAATGACACTAGTAATTAAGAATTTAAATGTAACACTAAGCAAAAAACCATAGAGAAAAGATTAAGAGATTTAATTTTTTTCAGATTTGATTATTTAAACATGTAAAACTATAATATGTCTGAAAAGAAGTTCTTATTAAGACATGTTTAAAGTATTGAAACATGTTTTTTGCTCAGGTAGAAGTAAAGAATCTTAGCCTTTTCTTTTAGTATTTGAAAGATTAGTATTTGTACTGTATAAAAGACAATGAAAAAATAAATGGGGATGTAATACATAAAATTTATCAATTTACAAAAGAAGGAGTACAAGTAGCCAGCAGCTTGAAAATGTACTTAATTTCACTAGTAATCAAAGACATAATATAAAATAAAATTGCAGAGGTTAATAATGACCATATTTGGCATAGTTTTGAAATAGACGTTTTCATAGAAGATCTTAATAAATGCATCCTTTTTGGGGATCAGTTTGACAATGCAGAAGTCTTGCAGGAAAGTTTATGCCTTTAAATTTAGCATTTCAGTTCTAGAAATCTAGAAGTGACTAAATTATCCTATAATAATAAAATGCTAAAATGCAAAGTATTTGGTCATCTGGTCAGCCATTCAACCAATCAAAGAGTAATATATTAATGATTTGCTAAGGCCACTCAACCACTCGCTATGATGTGCACTGACCACCAGGGGGGAGACAGTCGACCAATTGTATGACGTGCACTGGCCACCAAGGGGCAGATGCTCCAACTAGTAGGTTAGTTTGCTGATGGGGTCCAGCCGATCAGGACTGAGCGAGATGGGCCAGACATGCCCTGGAGCCCTCCTGTGGTTCTTCCCCTGCTAGCCAACCTTCCATGGCCCTCCCCAGCCCCAATCATGCACCAGTGGGGTCCCTCGGCCTGGCCTGCGCCCTCTTGCAATCCAGGACCCCTCAGGGGATTTCGAAGAGCTGGTTTCAGCCCAATCCCTCAGGCCAGGCCGAGAGACCCCACTGGTGCACAAATTTGTGCACTGGGCCTCTAGTGTAAAGATAAATCTACAATGGCGTTCATAGCAACGTGGCTCTTAAAGCAGAATATTGAAAACACCCCTAAACGTGTGTTGGTAGGGAATAGATTAAATTAAATGTATTTGCATTGATAGATATTTTCTGTGTTTAGATGAAAATGTGTAGAATAAAGGTTAACTAAAGGATTTGAGGGATGGGTAATCAATAGAGAAACTTTTATTTTTTTTTAGAATTTAAAGTGAAAGTTTATTAGTAAAGAAGTGAGATAGAGAGTAAGCTATTCCACAGGCGGAACAGCTAGAGAAACTTTATACAGTGGTGATTTTATATGAGCTTATGGCACTGTAATCAGAAAAATTAATAGGGTAGCCAAAATCAGTTTGGCTCAGTGGATAGAGCATTGGTCTGCGGACTGTAAGGTCCCAGGTTCGATTCCGGTCAAGGGCATGTACATTAGTTGTGGGCACATCCCTGGTGGGGGTTTGGGGTGTAGGAGGCAGCTGGTTGATGTTTCTCTCCCATCGATGTTTCTAGCTCTCCCTCTCCTTTCCTCTCTGTAAAAAATAAATAAATAAATAAATAAATAAATAAATAAATAAATAAATAAATAAAATATATTTTTTTTAAAAATTAAAAGGGTATTCTTACTTGGGAAAGAATTTTGGAGCACAAAGAACAAAGACATCTTACTAAGTGAAAAAAGCTGGTCACAAAACGACATACTGTTTGATTTTCCTTATATGTGATATCTAAAGTAGTCAAACTCATAGAAACATAAAGTGGAATTATGGTGGCCAGGTTAGGGTTAGGAAGATATATTGAGTTATTCAGTGGTTATAGAGCTTCAGTTTTGCTAGATAAAAAAGTGCTAGAGATCTGTTGCACAACATTGTGAATATAGTTACCACTGAATTATACTTTTAAAACTAATTTAGATGATAAAAATTATGGGGTTTTTTTACCACAATTTAAATATATAGATATTTTTTTAAACAATGATAACACAATGATCTTTTAAAGAAAAGAAATACAATCTGAGTGATTTCAGTAACTGCATAGAGTTTTTATTCTTAAAGTTTAAATCAGTGAATCAGAGTACAAACTGTGAGGTGAGATGTGATGTTTTTGTTTGATATGTACACATTTTATTTTATTTGTAAAGATTCTGAATTTGAATATCTTTTTATTTCTGCACCTTTTTTTAATTGAGATATAATTGGTATATAACATATTAGTTGCATGTGTACAGAATAATAAGTCAATGTTTGTATATATTGAGAAATCACCTCAATAAGTTTAGTTAACATCCATCACCACACAAAGGTACAAAAATAATTTTTGTGATGGGAACTTTCGTGCTATACTTATACTCTTAGTAGTTTATAAATTTTAATATTTTGAAAATTAAATTTTTATTGTTATATAACTAAAGAATAAATTAATAAAATAAAGCTTTACATTAGAAAATGGCAAACAAGTGCCCAATTGGTTTGACTCAGTGGATAGAGCAGACTGAAGGATCCCAGGTTCGATTCCAGCCAAGGACACATGCCCAGGTTGCAGGTTCGATCCCCAGTACGGGGCATGCAAGAGGCACCTATTAAAGATTCTTTCATCATTGATGTTTCTATTTCTCTTTCTCCCTCCTTTCCTCTCTGAAATCAATAAAAAAATATTTTAAAAAAAGAAAATAGGAAACAAATGAAAAATTGATTTTGCAAAAAAATTTAAATACAACTTAGTAAGACATTTTTAGTCTGTGAATTAGACTTTAAACAGTCCCAAAGGAACCAATAATGTTACGGTGCATTCAAAGATAAATGTAACAGGAAAATACAAATATAAATATTTTTGTTGATTTTTGAGAAGAAGGGAGATAGAAACATCAATGATTAGAATCATTGATTGGCTACCTGCATGGCCCCTACTGAGGATCCAGACCACAACCCGGGCAAGTACCCTGACAAGGAATTGAACCATGACCTCCTGATTCTTAGAGTGTTAACTACTAAGCCACACTGGCAGAGCTCAGTAAGATTATTTTCATCCTATTAATTATTACACTAATTAGATAAGAAGAGTAATTGGAACTTCAATATAGCATGCCACTTGTTTGGAAATTTTTAAAATAATTATAATTTTCTAATCCTAATTTCTAAACTTTAAAGGATGTATAGCTCAGTTTTCAAGAAAGAAAATTTTAAATGAAATATGTGTATACTTAATGCCAGACATTGGGTGCCATTTAGTGCATGGGGTCTTGATTTAGAGGGGTTCTGGAATCTGGAGAAGGGGCTATATGTAAATTAGGAGTCCAGAGACGAAACATAATTTTGAACGGCATTTGGGGGGCAGAGGAGCTTTAGCTAAAGGGGCTAAGTTCTCCTTGTGTCAGGACCCCTAGCTTTTTATTAACACAAATTGTCCTAAGGCAAGGTAAAGATACACATCAAAGGATAGGGTTTCATACAGAAGAATTGTCAGATTGGGGAATTAAATCCAGTTGTTCAGGTGTTTGGCCAACTGGATGCAATAACATGCAGACTAAGATGCACTGAGCTGTCTGGCAGCAAGCAGTCATCCTTTTCAGGTTTGGGAAATGCCTTTAGCCATTCCCAGTAACTCACCCCTTGTTGAGTCCCCAAGTTCCATCAACCTTTCAATGAAACTCTGGCTTCTGGCATATACTGTTATATATAAAATACTTAGGTATTTGTTTGTTTCTTATGTCATTGTCTCAAAAATAGAAAAATGAGAAAAGTAGTTGCTTTAAATTGCACATAGTAAACTTGACATTTTTTAATGAAAGTATGTTATTTTTTCCTGCTGAGTGGGTATAGTAATAGATATGTGTCTTAGTCTATTTTTTTTATATTTAAAAAAATAATATATGGTGAGATTTGTAGGAATTCACAAAAATTGAGCATAAATTTCCCAATGAAATTATATAATATTGTGCATGTAAAAATATACAGTGACTTTGTTGTTGAACTTCTTTCTAAGAACAACCATGTTCAAGTTAAAACAGTTACAGTAATTAGATGTTAGTTTATAGTGTGAAAACAGTATTCATATTATGTTAAATTTATTTGATTAATCAATAAGTTACTTTAATGAAGCATAAAAATTTAGTATCTGTTTTTCCTCTTTTTTTTTTTCTAGACTGATTCCATTTCTAGGTATGTTTACCTCTTGTTTTACTACCTTCTCCTTTTCATTCTTTCTAAAAATATGTGGCTAGATATTTATGAATTTTGTAAGTTGATAAAATATTTTGAGTAGTAAAAATCTATCCATAATTTAGATGACCTAGTAACTCTTCTTTGTCAAAGTCCTTACTTTTAATTCTGTAGTCCCAGTAACTCATGATTTTTCTTGATCTTTACAACAATGATAACTTTTAAATTTTCCTGAGCTTCCTAAGTTACTTCAACAATGACTATGTCATTATTAACAACAGAGGCTGATGAAACCCACCAGAAATTTATTTCACTAGGCATTCAGAATTTTCTCTTATTTGCTTTTAACTAAAAGAAAGCCATGCAAACACTAAAAAGTGTCATCTAGCTCAAAATTATTGGTCTTTTTAGAATTCTTCCTTGAATATAATTCTCTATTCCATTTTTCTTATCATAATTGTTATCCAAACCTTGTAAAGCCAGGAATAAGTTTTTATGTACTGATGATTGTATTGAGTTGAAATATAGAGGCATTATTAGAAAATGTACCCTGAATTCAGAACCGAACCAGATAAGAAGAGAATTCGTATTTACGGATCTATTATCCATCACTTTGAATAGACTGGCATTAATATTTCAAATAAAAAATGTTATAATTTTAAAGCATAGTATATACCACTTCAAAAATAAGAGAAGAGCTACCAATTAAATTGTAATATATCATCAGTTGTAAGTCATATTCTGATTTCAAAGATGATAAAGTATGGGGGGAAAATGTACAATTTAAAAATTTTGAGTTTATCATGATGTGAAACCAATTTTGACTTTTAGGTATAGAAATATTGAATCTTTTCCCTCAAAGATAGAAATTAGTAGTATTAAAAATAATTTCCCATTTATTATCTAAGTGACCATTATGACTGGTCAACCGAACAACTGGTCACTATGACACGCACTGACCACCAGGAGGCTGACGCTCAGCACAGGAGTTGCTCCTGGCAGTCAGTGCATTCACACAACCAACCTCCCGCTGCCAGCCAACCCCCCACATTTCATCCCCCAGCCGGCCACGAATCCATGCACAAATTTGTGCACAGGGCCTCCGGTATATTATAAAAGTTGATTAGATAACAGATGAGGGAGAATGTTATCTACTATTTGGACTATCAAGTTAATATATACTAGGATGTATGTTTATATTAGTTGTGAAAGCCTATAATAAAGTTTTTGACTAAAACTCATCTTTTGAAGATATGAAACCAGTTCCACATCAGCTAGTGATCGGTATGATTCCTTGCTGGGTCGCTCTGGATCATACAGTTACTTAGAAGAAAGAAAACCTTACAGTAGCAGGCTAGAAAAGGATGACTCAACTGACTTTAAAAAGGTACTTGGGTTATTTAGTTAAATTTAATTTAAAATAATTTGTTTGCTAAGATATACATGTTGAGATATTTCTAGAAACTCATAATGAAATCAATATCTTACTCTAATTTTTAGTTTGGAGCAATTAATGGTAAGTAGAATATAAATAGCTGTTCATTGTTTGTTTGTTTTTTAAAAGGAAAGGGGAAAGTGCCCAAGACTTTATTTTATATTTTAAGTGTCTTAGACCAATAACTGTGATACTGAGACTTAGCTGAAAAAAGACATTGGGGCAGGGTGTGTGTGTGTTACTAGGAAGCAGTCAAGGAATACAACTTTTGCTAGGAGAATATAGTTTTTCCTAGGTAAGTGAAAAACTATGGTAGCTCAACTGCTGTTAATGATTAAGGGGGAAGTAATCCTAGCTAATAAAAGAGTAACATGCAAATTGACCATCACTCTAACACACAAGATGGCTGCTCCCATGTGGTCAAATATGACTGCCCCCATGGGGACACAAGATGGCCACCACAAGATGGCCAGCAGGGAAGGGCAGTTGTGGGCAATCAGGCCAGCAGGGGAGGGCAGGGCAGTTGGGGGTGATCAAGCCTGCAGGGGAGGACAGTTAAAGGTGACCAGGCCAGCAGAGAAGGGAAGTTGTGGGCAACTGGGCCTGCCAGGAAGGGCAGTTGGAGGGACCCAGGCCTGCAGGGGAGGGCAGTTAGGGGCAAACAGACTGGCAGGGAAGCAGTTAGACATCAATCAGGCTGCCGGGGCGGGGGTGGGGGGGTGATTATGGGGTGATCAGGCTTGCAGGCAGAAGCGATTAGAAGCAATCAGGAAGGCAGGCAGTTGGGAGCCAGCAGTCCTGGATTGTGAGAGGGATATCTAACTGCTCGTTTAGGCCCCATCCCGGTGGGATAGGGTAGTCGGACATCCCTCGAGGGGTTCCAGATTGAAGAGGGTGCAGGCTGGGTTGAGGGATACACACACACCCGTGCACGAATTTCATGCACTAGGCCTCTAATTAAGAGATAAATGGAAAGTCAACAATCAAGGATTCTGACTGTCACAACTCTTCATATTATGAGCTTGGAATAAACCTGATGAAGTATGTTGGGGAGAAAAAGAAGGCTTGTGGAATTTGTATATGTTCCCAGGTATTTGGCAGCTATTTGAATTACCCACTTTATTAATGTCAAATCAGCAAGGGAAGAAAGGTTAGTTTTCATTATGAATAAGATTCAGTCTTTTTTTTTTTTTTTTCAATAAAGAAGTGAACACTGAACTGTGTTACAGGAGTGAACTTCCACTCATGGGCAATGTATTATAGATGGAGATATTGTCCCTGCTTGTATGGGTATCTTCCATGTATTGGGAGAGACAGACATTACAATCATACTAACGTATGTATACCTTAAAAGAAGCATTCTGAAAAAGTTTTATAAAGTGTGTAACAGAGTTATATAAAGTTTTATATGGTAAGGAAACAGTTTTATAAGTGAATGTATAAAGGAAAGTATCAGTACCTAAGGATGGATTTACTAAGAAAGTGAAACTGGAGCCAAAGGACAGAAAGATGATTAGTAGTTAACTGGCAAAAATGGGAGGGAAAATTGTTCCAGAGAGAGTGAACTTCAAGCACATAGACCTTATGATGGAAGGGTACCTGATGCATTGAAGCAGTTAAATTTTCATTAGGGATATCCTTATACTGAGAACATTGGGATGCCATTAGGGTTTTTTTAATGTATGAAATGGAGGTGTTAATGGAATGGTTGTTTTATGAAAATTGAGATTGTCATTTTGAAAAGCTAACTTGCTGCTACATATAAAAGAAATTATATGGAGGTCAGGAGAGTAAGTCTAGCATTAGAATAGTTTAGCTAAGAATATTATCGCCATTTATCGTGGTAGTAATAGAGATGAGAGAAAAAAAGAAGTAGTAAATTCAGGCATTATGAGGGTGTTCAAGAAATATTTCACTTGCCATTTAACTTTAGTAAAAATAAAACAAATATAATGATAAATGCAACTGATAGTTCTCACTGTCAGGAATTGAAGAGAGCATAATAGCAGAAAAGCTCCTAGACCACAAATAAAAATCACAGTGTCTCCAGAGCTCCAGCTATTGTTACTGTGCAGTTACTGTCCCTTTTTATCAGAAAACTGAATTTTTGTTTAATAAAACTCAAAAGTCAGATTTTTTTAGTGACGTCTTTATTTTAAATACTGATGCTAGTTTCTAAGAGTTTATGTAGGACAAATATACCTATGTAATCAAAACTCTGCATTGCAACCACAAAGCATTAAAATATATTTTAATGTATCCTTTAATACCTCATGTTACCTTAATCTTTCTATATAAGTTTTAATATTGTGAAGTAATCAATAGGAAATCTTACTAAACTATTGGGGCACAAAAGTAATTTGTTCTTCTTCCCTTATTTTTACAGCTTTATGAACAAATTCTGGCTGAAAATGAAAAGTTGAAAGCACAGCTGCATGATACAAACATGGAGCTGACAGATCTGAAATTGCAGTTGGAAAAGGCTACCCAGGTTTGGACCTTTTTCCTTTTGTTACTCTAAAGGCAATGGTTGTGATTTATTCTATCTAAAAGATTGCATTGCAATGTTCTCTAGTGTTCTAAACATAAGTTTAGTTACTGATAATAGCTTATTTATTAGAAATAATCAATATAATACAGCTTAATGATCATTTCATCTTTTTTTAAAAAATATATTTTATTGATTTTGTACAGAGAGGAAGGGAGAATTAAAAATATTGCCGGCACCGGTTTGGCTCAGTGGTAGAACGTCGGTCTGCGAACTGAAAGGTCCCGGGTTCGATTCCGGTCAAGGGCATGTACCTTGGTTGCGGGCACATCCCCAGAAGGGTGTGTGCAAGAGGCAGCTGGTCGATGATTCTCATCGACGTTTCTAGCTCTCTATCCCTCTCTCTTCCTCTCTGTGAAAAATCAATAAAAATATATTTTTAAAAAAATAGACGTATAGCCTCATAATGGAAAGTCTAAATATTTTTAAGCCTTCTAATACTTATGTTGTGGTATATGAAGGATTTAAGTGTTTATTTCCAGAATGCCAAATGTGGCAAGTCATTGAAAGCATCTGTACAGAATCTCCTAAAAGTTATAGCATTTCTTTATAATGATTTTTATTTGATATAAATATTTCCTATTCAAAAAATGGTGATTTGATATAGTAATACTGGAAGAAGATAATTGTAGTTATAACTCATTTTGCCTTCTTTGCAGTAGCCTAGAGGAGAGTATTTTAGACAAGAAAATTGGGATAGCCAAGGAGAATTAAAAACCCTGTTCATTTGTTCTAAGATGTGTAAGACTTAGGAACTGTTTCCCAAGCTTTTTCTTGGAACACTAGTCCTGGGGGACAGTAATAGGCACGTTCCCTTCTCCTCCTCCTCCTGCCCCCACTTAAAAAAAAAAAAAGCTTTGTGACCCAAGAAACTTGGGAAATACTATATATTCTACATCTCAGAGCTTTTACTATTTATATGTCAAAAGCTCTAAGGGATCCTGTCATTGTTAAGAAAATAAACTTGCTTAAATTTCACATGGGATTTTTTTTAACATAAGCACATTTCTGCAATACAACTCTTAGAATCCAGTTTGAAAGCACTAATTAAAATTTCTCCAGTTCGATAAATGATACTGCATAGTTTCTTTGGTCGCTTTTTTTCACTCATCTTTTTTCATAATTTTTAAAGTTTATTTTCTGTGTTGAACTTATACTTGTTACCATTTTTTATTGTTGTTGCTAGCCATTATTATGTTGTAAAGCAATTGTCCATGAAAAACGCAAGCTGTACTAAAATTCTAGGACCCAAGCTAACCGTATAAGGTTATGAAGGCTCTTCAGGTTTCATTAATTAATGAGATTTTACTATAAAGATACACAGAGCAAGCAAAGTGAACAAACAAACTTTAGACACAAATCAGTATGGTGCTTACCAGAAGTAAATGGGGTCAAAAATGGTGATGGGAGGAGACACGATTTCAGATGATGAGCACACAGTGCAGTATACAGATGATGTAATAGAATTGTAGGCTTGAAATTAATATAATGTTATTAACCAATATCAGCCCAATAAATTTAATTTTTAAAAATGGGAGGGAGCCCAGCTAGTGTGGCTCAGAGGTTGAAAGTTGACCTATGAACTAGAAGGTCATAGTTCAATTCCCTCTCAGGGCACAAGTCCGAGTTTAATCCCTACTGTGGGTCATGCAGGTGGCAGCTGATCATTAATTCTCTTTCATCATTGATGTTTCTCTCTCTGAAATCAATAAAAATATATATGTATATTTTTAATTAAAAAGTGGGGGTGGGGGGAAGATACACAGAGAAGTAAACAAACACATTTCATAGTGTCGTGTAAACAACTTAGAATGTTATACAAGTTAAAACTTGCTGGCTTATCCTAGCTTCATAGTAAACTGGAATGCCATCATTCTTCAGGTTGCATTAGTAGCTTAGCCTCTGTATGTGAAAATATCCTAACGAGTTTTCTGAAAATAGCTTTAGGTCTAGAGATTTGGTAACTATTATTCTGTTAAGAATCTTGAAATTTAGGTGTATTTGATAGTATGTAGCCCATGGACTCTAAAGTCTTTGAATTCTGCCTTAGCCTAGCCACTTTCTTCCATATACAGTCTCCAGGGGAGGGAAATAGGCTAACTTATCAGAAACTGGTTTGATAAATTTTATCAAATGTCAATTAACCACATTTACTAATTCTGATTTTAATAAAACATCTGGAATGTTTATCAGAAATATTAACAAAGGTTGATTTTTAACCTAAGAAATTGGTAAGTGAATCATAATATTTCTAAAATGTTATATGGGAAAAAAATCCCCAATACTAATTTTCTATCTAAGACTTATGTAATGTTTACTTGATGGCATTGTTCCATCTAGTTCTGATTTATTCCAGGTGCTTTTGAATGTAATTTAATTCTTCAATCTTTTAAGCGTTTTTAGGATTCATTTCATGTTATTAACTGATATATTTAACCTTTGTTTTAAATTTTTAGCAATTAAAATATGAATTTAAATTTCAGAAAGAAATAAGGATTAGCTGAAACAGTTTCATCATGATAGAAATTCTGAATTTGATTTATAACAATAAACAACTGAAATGACACACACCCTCTCTTTATTTTTCATTACATTTATATGCTTTATATATTTCTTACTCTTCTTGCAGAGACAAGAAAGATATACTGATAGGTCACTATTGGAAATGGAAAAAAGGGTAAGTGTCCATTTTATTGAATAATAGAGGTCCAATGCATGAAATCCATGCAAGAATAGGCCTTCCTTTCCCCACCTGCTGGTACCAGCTTCTCTCTGGCACCAGGGACACAGGCTTCCCTCACAGCCCTGGCTTCGTCCAGAAGGTTGTCTGGAAGGACATCTGGTCTAATTAGCATATTACGTTTTTATTATTATAGATCGTTTTCCTACTTTATTGTTTTGTGTAAGCAACAGTCTTTTTTTCTTTAGTTTTTGTGGATGGTAGTTTTAATAAGTTTAAATTAATACTCATTAATTTAATTAAAATGTTTTCTAGCTTACCTTCTTTGGGTGTCTGTGGGGTATCTGTAGGTGTGAAATTGTCTTATTAAATAAGATTTAATTTGTCATATCATTATTTTAATTGATTAAAAATATTTTGCCTTAATTCTGAAATGTAAACACACATTACGATAGTGAATCTGATATTTTTGAGATGCCATTTATCTCTTTGATTTTTGATAGTAATATACTAAAAACATTGTAATCATGTATACATTTAGTTGAATTCTTTGCAAAATTAAAATACTTTCATTCTTGAAATAAATTTTTTAAAGCTTCAGTGAGTATCATTTTCAAATTCTTTTAAAAGTTAATATAATAATACTTAATTTCATTTTCAATTTAAATATTAACTTAAGTAAAATATTTTAAACAAAAAAATGATTATAAGGAAATTCTTTTGCCATTTTATGTCTTTCTATAATTTTTTATCTGTCTATGATATTTTCATTTCTCTCTGCTTATTATTTTTATTGTTCCGAGTCATAGGAATAACTCTACAAGTTTAGTCTGAACAGTTGATAATGTATAAATGATCAAAAGTTAAGGGACAAGTGCTCTAAGAGTGTCTATAATACAAGTGAGTTGTGACTTATAAGGTTTCAAGCAGAGAAGAAATTACATCCTTGTATCTATGATCTCTAGATCAAAGAATAAATAATTAGAAGCAATTGATATAAAAACATTTTCTCTCATTCCATTTTAAAAATAGCCAATTTACCATTCTGACTAAAAAAAGAGAGAGAAATTATCTAAAATACAGAATATATAACTAAATAAGTCTGTTAATGTCTATGCCATTTACTAAATTGTATCTTGAAATAACTACTTGTTTTATTATGCTTGCAGCAGTTTTAAAATTTATGGTCTAGGCCATTGTGTTGTTGTTAATCCTCACCCAAGAATATTTTTCCATTGATTTTAGAGAGAGTGGAAGGGAGTGAGAGAGACAGAGAGAAAGAAACATCAATGTGAGGGAGACACATTGATTGGTTGCCTCCCGCACACAACCCGACCAGGGCAGGAGATGACCAGATTAGGGGATTGAGCCTGCAACTGAGGGGTATGCCCTTGACCAGAATAGAAATCAGGACCCTTCAGTCTGTAGCATGATGATCTAGCTACAGAGCCAAACCAACGAGGATTGTTCAATCTAGACCATTTTAAAAAAATTGGTGCCCTGGCCAAGTGATTTATTTGGTTAGAGCATCATCCCGTTACTCTAAGGCTGCAGGTTTGATCCCTGCTCAGGGCACATACAAGACCCAACCAGTGATTACACAGATATGTAAGACAATAAAGCAATGGTTCTCTCTCTCTCTCTCTCTCTGTCTCTCTCTCTCACTCAAATCAGTCAATAAAAAAGTGTGTGTGTGTGTGTGTGTGTAAACTATTGTATAACTAATTGCTAAAATTTGAATCAGTTATTTTATTAAATTTAATATTAGTTATTTCACAATATAATTATTAATGAATTTTATATCTAACATAGAAATAAAAACCACTCACTTTTCTGTTATCCATATTATGGTTGAGATGAAAAGGCAGATAATTTAATCAAAAATATATATTTATCTGCTGGTACCTATTTGGCTAAGTGGATAGAGCGTTGGCCTGCGGACTAAAAGGTCCCAGGTTCAATTCCAGTCAAGGGCATGTACCTCGGTTGCAGGCACATTCCTGGTAGGGGTGTGCAGGAGGCAGCTGATTGATGTTTCTCTCTCATCAATGTTTCTAGCTCTCTGTCCCTCTCCCTTCCTCTCTGTAAAAAATTAATGAAATATATTTTTAAATATATATATATTATATATATAACAAAAAAATTAGCAAAAGAAAAAATAAAATTATCTATCAACCTATCATGAGAGAGAACTGATATTTTTATGTTTATCCTTTGTTTTTCCTAAGCTTAGGCACACGATAACATATCTTTGTTTTCTGACATTTTCACCTGACCTCTTCTGTCTGTCAAATGCAAATAAGTTACAAAGTAGCTAATTCACTCTCAATTTAACAGACATTAATAGTCATAGTATTAATAATAACTACTAATATTCCTTCAGCACTTTCTTAAGTGCAGATTCTGGGGTAAGCACTTTACATGCATTTTCTCTTTTTTTTTTTTTTAATATATTTTATTGATTTTTTTTACAAAGAGGAAGGGAGAGAGAGAGAGTTAGAAACATCGATGAGAGAGAAACATCAACCAGCTGCCTCTTGCACACCCCCCACCGGGGATGTGCCCGCAACCAATGTACATGCCCTTGACCGGAATCGAACCTGGGACCTTTCAGTCCGCAGACCGACGCTCTACCACTGAGCCAAATCGGTTTTGGCTACATGCATTTTCTCATAACCATATATTTTAATGTTAGTAAGTTTATTTGTCAGACATCAGGAATTTCTTGTAACTATATGGTTGTCAGTTTGGCAACAAGGCAATTTAGTATGGTGTTCTTGGCTTTATCACCAAGTAGTTAAAATCTTGAAATCACCTAATAAAATTGAGGTGGTGAGGAAATTACTTATCAGTAGGAGAAAATATACTTTTATGCTATTTCCGATATTTCAAAAATTTATGAGAATTAAATATGACATATGTCCTAATATTTTGAGAAGTGCATTGTTTTTTTATAAATTTGTCATGACTGTATTATTAAGTAGAGAAATGTCTGTTTCTAGTAAATAACATGCTGATAATAGAATAACATGGTACTTATCAAACTAGTAAGATTCCATCTATTTTTTTTAATTACATACCCTTAAAAATATTAACATTTACAGTAAGTGTATGGCTTCACTAAATATGAACATTAGTTATTAATCTGGGAAAGAATGTCTTGGAAGTAATTTCGGTATGATTAAACTAAATTTAAATGGTTTGTATCTGAAAGGTGACCGGCAAGAGTCAGTATCTTCTGGGCGGTATGACCTAACCAAAGTTTTACAGCACATTAATTATTGCTGCTTGCTTTTTTGCATAACACCTTAGAATGCTTATTATTTGAGGGAGAATAAAACAGTACACTGCAAAAATGTATGTTGCCTTTGCCTGTCACTTTTTGACATAAGGTAATTTAACCTAAATGCTGCAGTTGCTTCTTCATTAGATTCACTGCATTAATGCTAAACAGTATCAACTGAATAAGCTATGAAGTCAGTTGGGTAAATAATGGATAGTAAATAATTTGATGGAAGAGATGAACCTCTCATAGATCCTATTGAAATTTTAAAGTACAGATATTTTAGGCACGTTTGCTTCTGGCTTTTCTGCTTCTATCACTGTAGAATAATTGCATCTTTGTGTGAGTTTTTTGTTTTTGTTTTTCCTATACAATCCTAAGTCTTCCATATTAGTTTACTCTATCCTTGCATTTTACATGAGCTAAAATGTTTATGTAGCATCTTACCAGAAAGTCAAAGCTTTAAAAAAAAAAAAAAAAAAAGAGCTTATAGAAAGTAATGCAAATAATGACTTTCATATTTCTTTCTCTCAAATTTTAGAAAGCTCTTTTTACACATCACTGGCCTCACATCTTTTTCTACACTGCTCCTGATTTGATTTTTGATTCTCAAGTGGCACTATTTCACAATTTAGAAGAGAATGTAAGAATATAATTATTATATACTTAATATTGTTACTTTATTTTTGATCTAGGAACGAAGAGCTCTAGAAAGAAGAATATCTGAAATGGAAGAAGAGCTCAAAGTAAGTATAAACCATGCTACTTATGAGACATAGTGCTGTTTAGAAACTAAATTTTACAGTACTGTTATAAGTGTTATGTTCACATAATTATTCTCAAGGCTGTTTATGCAATTTGTGATTTATCTATATCAAAGCTTCTCTTTCTTCCTAAAATAGGTCTTAGGTGGGCTAGAAAGTACTTGACACACATATGTTTTTGTGAATCAATTTTTGTGGAACTTTTGATGTTAAGAGCTGTATTTTATCAAATTCTGCATTTCCTGTGGAAATAACTATTTGTTTTGAATGTAGGAAGGAACACTCTTTGCAGAAAAAGAAAAAACAGCATTGTTAATTAACTCTTATCACATTGTCTTGCATAAACTATCTCTTTCACGCTATGAATTAAAACTAATGAATAGGAAATTGGGCCCATAGAACTAGAATTTCAAGATGTTTTAGTAAATTATTTGGTTACTTCTTGGAACATTGTTATTGAGTGCCTGTGTAGACAAATTTTTTGGATTTTATTTGCTTATGTATGTTTGATATGGACTTTTAGAACTCTACTATATATCTTTGTAGATCTCATGGAATATTTTTTAAGAATTAAATTTTTCTTATATTCATTGTCTGTGATTCTTTATGTTTTTATTGTACTCTTTTCCATTTTCTTATTTTTTATTTTTATTTCTTTATGTTCTGATTCCTGCAGAACCTGCATCAAATAAAGCAAATTCAAACTCTGAGAGAGTTAAATGAACGACTGCTGACTGAGAATAGGGCCTTGACAAGAGTGATAGCCAAGCGCTCAGGGTTGTGTAGGAAACTGCAGTCTGTGAACCTATAATTTATAGTTTCATCATTTCTTCTTGGTAGAGCCAGGCAGGTGTTTTTGTATTAGTAAGCGTGTCTTGAGTTCTCTTTTACAAATTAATGCCATTTTGTCTGGAGCTTATCATGTAACCTTAATTATGCATGGCTTCTCAGAATGTTAGAAAGTGTCACTAATTCTATATTTAAACTACAGTAAACTTAGGGAATGATTTTGGAATTTAAGTAAAAGACTTGTCTGCACTTTCACAAAACTTGTACACATTTTGGCTCTACAAATATTTTAGGGCTTAAAAATATGGCTGTTATATTTCAAATTCTTAACTAGAAAGAAAATGGAACATAATATAATGAATGTGTTGTACACAATATATGTTGAAGCTGAAGATTAAGCATGCATTATCTGTTTTTCAAAATGTCACTTTCAGTCAGGGCCATCTTAATATTCACTTAGTTCTCTTAATACATAAACTTCATACATAAACTTCAGATTACTGTATTTTAGTATATCCATACATTTTAAACAGGTAAGAATTGGTTGGGTCCACATAAAATTAACTTTTCACATAGATTTTGCTTTTATTTTGCTAAATATCTTGAAAAGTATGCTTTAATGTCCAAAATATAAGCTGTTCCATTTCCTAGCAAATCTAGCAGAGCATATGTAATTTAAATCATTCTACTTGGTGGAAAATCCATGTCACTTATAATATTTTCACCCCCTCGTTCAGTTTGTAAAACAGAAAATGGATTTGCTTTATTTTGAGAATGTGAGGGTGTGTTTCTCTGTTTGCTCCAAATAACTGGTTATTTTTTCTATTCTTGAACATTTTTATAAATACAGGCTTACTACTTTTGCTGATAAGTTATTTTATTCTATCTCATAATAGTAATAATTGCTTTGTTGATATTTAATGAGCACCTAGTTTCGGACATTGTACTAGTCACTTAAACTTAGTACCATAGGTGAATCCTTTAAAGAATTTTAATAATTTAGAATAAGTCTAACTCCCTCAAAACTTCCCCAAATATGATGATTTTGGGGGGAAATATGTAAGTGTTATGGTTTGAGGTCTGAAGTAAATTAAGCAAAAAGCCCTGATTTAGTACGGACAGGAACTCTTAAAGGAGCTCCCTTTCAGCTCCCTTTTAGCCTAACAAAAACAGGCTTCCTTTTCTTGGCTGTTCTAATATGTGTGCTTGTGGGTCATAATATCAAGTGATTTAGTACATTTCAACTGATAACTTTGGGAGAATAAACTGTTCATTCCATCATTTATTAAACTAATGAGCATCACAAGTTGTGGGTTAGTTTTTTTTCCTCCTGCTATATGTTTTAGCCACTAGAAAAATATATAACTGACAAAGCTTGTTCATGTGTCTTGTGGTGAAAATATAACATTTATTAAGAATAATATTTTGTATTTTTGCTGAAGCAAAACTTTTTCTTCATTTTTCCCCTTGTAGATGTTACCAGACCTAAAAGCAGACAACCAGAGGCTAAAGGACGAAAATGGGGCCTTGATCAGAGTTATAAGCAAACTTTCCAAATAAAATAAAAAGCAGCAAATAATGGAATTGCACATATTAGTAACCCAGTGGACCATAATTGACAGTCACTGGAAACCTGGAAAGAGTCCTTGCAGACTGTCATTTCCGGATATCCTGCCAAATGCCCTCTTATCTTGGAGTTTTGTTTAAATTTTCGGGGGGGGGGGGGTGTTTTTGTTTTTTTTTTGTTTGTTTTTTTTTTTCCTTGTATCAAGACCATTGTTTCATGTTAATGCAGCTGCTGAGAAGATTTTTTTTTAAAGACTGAGAAAACTTGTTTACAGCTCCAGCATATAAGGAAAGTGTTCAAGGCCAGATATGCCTCAGATATTTAACCAGTAAGCCTTAGTTGTACATAAATACTTTTGTGTCAACAAAAACTTGCAGCTCTCACAGAAGACAGTTATTCAACATTTTTGATGTGCCACCGTTTCCAGTTTTTCGATATTTAATTTTTTTTTGCTTTACATCTAAGTTTGGGTTTGTATGTTTTTCCTTATAACACTTCATGTGGCAGATTTTTCTGTGTTTTCACGGCTTTTTCATTTACAGAAAAGAACACTTGCTCTTCTGAGGTCATTGTCATGTATTAGACTCATGTATTAGGCGGATGCTGTGTTGTGTCCCACCTGGAACTGAATTGCTTGGTGGAACATTTGCTTTCACTATTTGTGCAATATTGCATTTATTTCTTATATGAATGCTTTAAAGTCAGTTGAGGTTAGGTTCTTTTTAAGTCCTGTTTTCTGCCTTCATTGGTCACTTTTTTGTTTTTGTTTGTTTTTTATTATTGTAGAACAAGATGTTAGATTCTATAATCTTCACATTCATTTTAGCAGGTACTAAGTGATGCTGTATATATAAATAAGTGTATTGTTTTGATTTTTAGAACACCATATGGCATGCTTGACTATTTTCTTATTTCAAATGTCTGTTAATGAGAAGTAGGCTACTCCATCATAGTGTTAAAAACTGAATTTGCTAACAATGTGATATAAAAACTTTAAAAGTAACACATATGTGGAGTCCTATCTTTATAAAAGTTTTCTACTGTAAAGTGCTTTTACTTATTTTCAGTTCTTATTTGATAATATTCAACCATAATTAAAGTTGTGTAGGTAATGCTTCACATTTCACATACCGATATTTATCTGAGTGCTGTCTAAAACTGTTGTGCTAGCCAAAGTAATGCTATGAAATCATTTGCAGACTTAACCATGAGTTAATGTTAAATGCACTGTTATTGCCATGTGAAGAGGCATTGATTTCTATACCACCATGATGTTCAGCCCATTTTATACATTTCAGTGGCCTTTTAAAAAAAAAAAAAAAAAAAAAGTAAAACCAAGTACATAATGGAGATGGCTTTTATTTGGACAAAAATAGCTTTTATATTTTCATTAAACCATGCAAAAATATTACATCTTTTGGGCACATAACTGTCTCCTTAACCACTGAACAGTTCAGCCATTAGAATAAATTGTACATTGTAAAGCTTATAGTAGCTAATTGTAATATTCATTGTATTGTATACTATATCAAATGTGAATTTGTACCCCTTCATTTTAAAAGGTCATTGTGTTCTACTGCCTATTTCAGATTACTTTGGGGTTGGGAAAAGGTGTTTTGGTAAGCTGGATTTCAAGTCCTCTCTCTTGATTGGTTTTATGAAGATAGAAGGTTATGCTCTTACTACCATGCTCAGGATTCTTGATTTTTAAAGGTACAAGGATAGATGTGGGAATTTTATTTTTGGTTATATTTGAACTGTATGAATGGTGGGTCTGAATATAGAGAATTTCATGGTCTTATATGGACATAAAATATCCAGATAATTGATCAGTTTGAGTGACTGCAACATGTTCTGGTTGCACAACAGTTAGGCATGCTAAGGACTATATTTGTGAAGTTTGGATGCCTGTGAAGAATGATTAAATACATGTTTCTAATATTTTAGTGTTTTGTATTTAGGTTATTTATTCTTTGTATCTAAAACTGAACAGCTACTGTGCTATATTGATTTTATTGGTAGTATTGAGCAGACCTTGTTTCTGCATGAAACTAGTTGCAAAACCCACTATTTTGGAAATAAAAATGTATTTTGACATATACAAATAAAATGAATAAAACTATTTTAAATGTGTGAACTTTTACTGAGACATTTTAAATTTTGTTCTGAGACATTTAAATTCTGCATGGATATTTTTTCACTAATTATTTTACTTTGATGCTCTGGTTTCTCTTCAGATCGCATAAATCTTTCGCCTTTTACTAATTATTTTACTTTGATTCCAATTTGAATAATTTTTGAAATTGTAATGTGACAATTTGCATAACATTGTACATGCACATCTGTAAATGCAGTCTTAATTGCCATATTTATGCAATCTGTGTACCAATTTGGACAAATGTTTATATATTTTACATAAAGCTGTCTATATGCAGAATCTGAGAACTAGTATTTTATGATAAGTGGATAAAAAAATAATGCTAACAATGTTTCAAGGTAGTAGCTTTGTAGCATAAGATCATTTGCATAAACATTTGGTGGCTTCTAAATTAAACCTGTGCTTTTTCTTAGCTGTAAACATCGGCTTGAGATACAGATAAAAATAATATTTCATTGAGATGTAAAATACTAGATCATTTTTCCAACCTAGATTTGGTCAACCCGTCTACTAACACATGTAACTAGGTAAGAGGCATTTTCAGTTGGGTAGAGAATTTGTAGTAAGCCTGTGTTTAAATCAGTATGAGAATTGGACCTGCTGATTCCCAGTATTTTCCCTGTGCAATGCTCACAGAATGATAGATTTTTACAGTTGTTGTTTGTCCTCCATAAAAAAATAATTCCACATGCCAGTACTTCAAAGCCAAATGAAGAGCAGCTATAGAACTTCCTAGGAGAGTATTCATATAAAAAAAAAAAAAAGCAAAGTAGATATTCATTAATCCACTAGGCTGTATTATCTTGCTTAAAGATATAATCCTGGCTGATTTGAAATAGTCATGATTCCCAGTGTCAACACTCACTGAGTCTTATAGGAAGAAAATATCCAGAGAACCAAATTTTCTTCAAGCTAAGACCATGTATTTCCCATAGAATATAATAGCCTTATGGATTGTCCTTCACTTTTTCATATAAGCAGAATACAGAGCAAGTCTAATTAACAGTAACTATACATTAGTCATATCTTGCTCGTGAAAATCTTTGGTTGCAGAGATGAAAGTTGGCTGATAAGCAGTCTTTTCTGTGATTTCCAAGTTGTATGTGGGTGGTCTCTCTGTATCTTGAGTGTGCATATTCAACAGAGATCATGTGCATACGAGAGCTGCTATCCCAAAGGATTGGGTATAGAATGAAATATTTATTTTTCTATTTTATTCTGTGTATAACTAAATTTCTTGACTTTGGTTTTGGAAAGGATTTTTGAGTGCTATTTAAACAGAGTGATCTTTTTCTTAGGCAAATGGTATAGAGTGTCATATTGCTGCCCCATGCTTACAAAGTGACCAGATTACAAATTAATAAATTCAAAATAAAAACATAAGTGTCAGAAGTTTAAGATTCTATAATCAGGTCATATAAATCTATCTTATTAAATTTTATTACAAGTTTTCTGAAGTTTATTGGGTGTAAGCTTTTTTGAGCTAAGTTATCCAAGCTTTTTACTGCTTACATTTCAGTAAACATCTAGGTCACAAAAATTTACTACATTTTCATTTTTAAAGGCTGAAGAGAAAGAAGGGGGGATATTTTGAAGAAATGAACAATATAAGTAGATTCTGCTCTGAGTAATACCCAGCTAGTAGGGTCTGTACTTTGTCCTTGTAGGTCTGAGAGAATGGGAATAGAAAAGATTTACTTTCCCTTCCTCACACTCAATTTTTCTTGAAGGTTTGTTTGGATACAAGTTCATTTCGATAGTCTCCCTTATTTAATCCTTACAACAGATTGGATAAAGTCTATCTTCATTCTATATGTGAGAAAGCTAAGATTTGTAGATTATTAACTGTTCAACATTCCAAGCCTCATACAGAATAGAGCTCTTAACCCAATTTAGTGTTGATTATTGTTTATTGCCAATTCTTAATTGAGGATTTTTCCCATGGTATCAGTGTGATGGTTTATTTGCATGAAATTGCATAAGTCACCTATGAGTCTATATTTTAGGCTTAAAATACTTGGTTATCCTTGGGAAATGTGTTTCTTGATTTTTTTTTTTTTCTTTAATGCCACAACCTCACCCCCATATCTAGTTAGGACTTACTGTTGCTAAATCACTTGCCCTTTAATGGGACTTATTGCCCAAGCAGCCAGTTGACTCCCTACAATAAATTCTAACTATACCTGATAAGTATGTAAAAGATTTTCACATACTGATATGCAAAAGAACTTCTTTTGAATTCTTCAAAAACAGATTTTTAAAAATTGATGAGGGCTTAATTCTCAAGAATCTTTTATTCCCAAGTAACATTAATAGTGCTGTGGTATTAGCGGCAAATTTTTCTCCAGTGAAAAAAAATGTGAAGTACCAATGCATAAAATAGATAAATGTGTATTTTATATTACTCATAGAGTTGACCCCACCCCAAAAGAAAGTACTCAAAATAGGCCTCTAAACGACAGCATGACGCCCTCATTTGTTATTGCATGAGTTTTAGAGTACTGCTGAGCAGATGCACCTTATCTGCACTTGCTTTTATAATGTGCTAAGCCGGTGTTTTGGTACTATACTATTTTATGTGAGTGAATATGTTCTGTCCTAAAGAATATCAAACACAAGTACAGGGCAGGAAAAGCTCCACACAAAAATGAGGTCACTTGGCAGTATAAGTCGACCACTAGTGCTCTCCAGTGTTTTGTAGTTGTGCATGTGTCGAGTGTATTGTTTTTATAACGTTTATGCATTTTAGCACACAATTTCAATCAAACTTTCATGGGGTCCATAGAGCTAAGATTTAGGGTACTGATTTTAAAACACTTGACATGGTGGAAAGAG